AGCATGCAGACGGTTGAACAGAGTCGTGACATCGGTGACCGGCTCGGGTTGATCAGCCTTAGAGATGGACAGGAGATCTTCGGCGTTCCGAGAAAGTCCAGACTTGACCACTATAACATCCGAGCGGGTCCTGATCTCGGCCGGCTCGTAGAATGGAACTATCCCATGGATCAGGAAATCGCGGGACAGCCGTTCGACGAACTTCTTATGCGGCTCTTTGGCGTCGATCAGGATGACGTCGGGGTGAACCCTCACGAAGCGATCGCGAAACTCCGCGTGGTCCTCTTGGGAGAGCTCCGGGATCTTGTTCGGGTCTTCCTCCATACGAGCTCGCCGAGAGGCGTATTGCGTTTGCAGCGCTTGAGCAGCTTGCCACACCGCTGCCAAGGACATCACGGAGAGCTCCTGTGCTGCCGCATCAGCCCCGAGCTGGGTCAAGTCATCTTGCCACAGCCGACGGATTGTCGCCTTCGCCGAGGTGAGATCCTGCCCCAGCATTGCGAACATCTCGACTGTGAGGAGACCTTTGTCGGCCGAGAGCCTGCAGAGGGCTGGATCTAGCCCCTGTCTCCCGAAGATCTGGCGCAGGTTCAGCTTCGGGGTCGCCGCCTCATTCGCGTATGCGGTGCGATCGACCATGGCTGCCTAACGAGCTGTCTGAAAAGAAAAGCTACGGTCAGGGAGAGGCTCAGCTCGAGTGGCCATCGTGACTGCGAACAGCTGTGTTCACGGCTCCGTAAAGATCTTACCGGAACACAACGAGCACATCTGAGTACTCGGCGGAATCTCGCCGAGATCCTCGCACTCGGTGATCGCGTACCGGCCGCAGAGCGTTCGCTCCGTGCCCGTACCATCTATATACATGGCATGATATTTAAGACTCAGATCCTTTGAGGACCCCGCAGCCGATCTAGCCTTGGTGACATAGGTCAGAGCGAGATCACCGAAGTCGACCAGATTGGTATCGTCGGCCTCGAACTCCGGTGGAGATTTCCAGTCGGATGCTATCCTCTTCGTGAGCCGCTTGACCATCTCGATCGAGATCTCTTTGCGGCTCCGAGCGTACTTCAGGACCAGCTGGCTTGGATCCTTCCAGTTCGCTTGGAGCCCGATCTCTTTATCGGGCTCCTGCGCCTGGACCGCCGCCGAGAGCAGCGTGACCGGCAGGAGTGCCAGGTGATCTCCGGCACGATCTTCAGGAGCTCCTTGAGCCGCTCGGGCGAGATGTGCCCGCGCTTCAGATCGTCCGAAGCTGCAGTAGTGAGCACGTACCGCAGCCACAGGATGCTCCGTTGGTAGCTGGCAGGCCGATCGGCGAATCGCTCAGCCGATTCGAGCTCTTTCATGAAGTAGTCGCGATCGTCCATTTCGAACGCAGCTGCGTGCCATCCGTCTTCCATCCAGTCGGATCCGGAGACGGAGACTCTGGCCGCCGCGAACCGCGTTCCCTTCTTTTGTCGCTCGACCTTAGTCTGCCAAACCACCCCATAGAGAGCCTCGTCCTTCAGGGCGAGCGCCTCGGGCACGACGTGGAGCGCGTCGTCGAACCTGAGGGACGAGTAGATCATCACGAGAACCCACCATGCGAAGAACGCCATGGGGAATTGGCTCGACTTAAAACGAGCGCACACGAACCGCTCGAGCGCCGCCACCAAGATCAGAGGGATGGGAACCGCTTCCCTCGTCTCTTTCCCGCGATCGCCATAGACCTTCTTCTGCAAGGCCATGATCCGGGGATCGAGGAGGTCGGGCAACGACAAGCCGATCCGCTTGCAGATCCATTTGACCGCCCCACGTACCGAAGGTATCACGGTGGGGCCGCAACCTCGGTCGGAGAGATCTAAGAGGTACTTGACGAGCACGTCGGTAGTCAGCGGGATCACCACTAGGTTCTGCGACCTCGCCCAAGTCTCAATCCTCTCCCAGTGACGAACGCACTGCTGGATAGTGCGGAAACCGCCACTCTCGAAGACGATCAACCTCAATGCATTCATCTCATCTTGAGACAGGGGTGATCCCGGCTTCGGGTTGCCCGCGATCGCGGCGTGCTCGCCGCACCTCTCCACGATCGCTTTCAGCCTCATGCCCCACTTTCGGGCCTCGCCGAGCTCACGGGTTTTGAGCGATGCCTGCGGATCTTCAGGCCTCGGCTCGATCGCCCGCGGCCTCTTGGCGAGCGGCAATGGCATAGGAGGCTCCTTGCCAGTCCCCTTCGACTTCAGTGGCGATCGCCCGAAGACGACCGGAGCTTCAGCCAAGCCGAATCCCAGATCAGTGGCCAGATCAGCCCAGCCCGCTGCTGCCGTGCTACGAACCAGCACAAACAACAGCTCGATCGACGGAACCCACCTGCCGAGCTCCTCCTCGTTCTTCCGCCGATCTGGCGTGTGGAGTTCCTCGAGGGCAGGGACAAGATCAATGAATGCTTGCACACACTCAGCGATCGTCCCGTCCGAAACAGCCGTGAGCTTCTCGAACTGAGCCATCCGAAGATCCACCAACCATTGGCAAAATTCATCCCCGAACAGGGGGAGGGATAGGATCTTCCGAACGGACCTATCCATGCTGGGCCTGAACAGCTGCACGAACGATCGCACGTGCCTGCTAATGGTAACCGAGCGCCGTGCCTGAGACAGGTATTGATCAATCTCACTTCCGGCAGAACATGCGCTGGGATCTAGCGCGCCGAGAGGATCGCTCGGCATGTTTGTTCCGCGGAAGAGCCCGGCTGATCCGCCAGGAGGCTTCGGTCGCGCGGCGCACCACTCTCTTAGGAGCGTGCACAAAAACCGACCATCACCTAGGCTTCGATCGACAACTACTCCGTATTGTCCATCGTGTAGGGCCCCGTTGACGATCTGGCCGGCGGGTAAGCCGGGGCGAACGCCTTCGGCACCGTGGTCGTAGTGGAGGGGGAAGCCGTGATCTCTTGGCCCGTCTCCTCCACCCTGACCGTGCTGATCCGCTCGTACTCCGCCTGCTCACGGTGCTGGAGCACGTCGGTGAAAACCTGAGGCGTGATCGCAGCCGACGTGCGCGAGAATCGCATGTCGGCCCTCATGCGATCGCGGGCATCGGTGACGACCTCCTCGGCAATCTGCTCCTGGCCGAGCTGGCCCTCCTCCGGCACCGGAACAGTGCTCACCCTCTGGTCGAACACCTGCTGAGCCGAGGTGGGCATGTTGGTGATCGCCGAAGTGACCGAGGAGCCCAGCTGCTGAACCGCCTGCCGAGCCGCCTCTTCCATGAGAGCCGGGGGGCCATTCCGAGCTCGAACGGCGTTGTTCTCATCGTGCGACCGGTGGGCGAGCGCCTCCTGCCGGACGAACTCCAGTGGGCAGACCCTGAGCTTAGATCTAGCCCGTACGTGGAAGTTCCCATGATCCATCGGGAACTCGTCTGTCGCAGTTCCCACTTGCACCTGTTCGTTGGCGAACGCACTGTGGTACCAGGGGGCGATCACCGCAGACAGCTGCGCGAACTGCTGGATGTGGTCTGGACCTTCCACGCGAGCACGCTGGGTCCGACAGGCCTGGATCGTGCTGATCAGAGCGGGGCCCGAGATGTGGCTGACTGTGAGCCACGTGTCCTCCCGCACTTGAGATCGATCCGGTTATTGGCGTCCCGGAACCGAAACTCAACACGATCGGCGTCGTTCCCATAGCCTTCTCGGGACGAGCGTTCTGTCACCCTGAGCTCACAAGTGCTCATGGCATGGTCGCTCGCCATCACTGCTCCTCTCGGGCCGATCGTGTAGACTCGGGCTCCAACCTCGAACGAGGTCACGGAGACCTTCCATCCAACGAAGACCGAGATGACGATCGAGGGTCGGAACCATCCTTCGTTGGCTGACCGGATCAACACCTCGTCGCAGAACTGCTGCTGGACAGAAAGATCCGAGTCCGAGCGGTAGCCCCTGAAGACCCAATGGAACAGGACCTCGTTTCCATTGAAGACCTTCACATCCACATAGGTGGCCGAGGTATCGAACATCACCGGCCAAGTGAAGGGCTGGAAAGCCGGGTGCGATAGCGCCCGACTCGCGTAGGAGTCCCACTGAGCACATGGTCCCCCTGTTTTCGAAGACATCGAAAAGAGCAGAACGGCCTTGATGCCATCGAGCGTATAGTTCGCGAACAGCGAACAGTGGTAGCCCGAGTTCGGGGGCATGACCGAGTCCCGCTCCGTCAGCACATTGATCGAGCTGGCGGCATTCGAGATGATCTCCTCGGCCAGCCAGTTCTGGAACGGGGAGATCACCCGGTCATCGCGGTTGTCGATGACGAGGAGCGAGTTCTGGGTCTCGTCCTCTTCCTCGACCACGAGCTGGCGAACGAACTCAGGCCGCTGAATGAGCAGCAGGAGCCCCACGGTCACGACGTCCACGACGATCGTCGCGACCCCAGCCTCCAGAGCCCCAATCGCCGGATGCGGCAGCTGGAGCCGCGGGATTCTCGGGAGCCTCTGCCTCGCCTGGAACGTAGTGTCCCCAGTTACCCGGATTCTCAGGCTGACCAAGCCGGCGAGGCAACCCGAACTGTGGGGCCATCGGAGCCGCCATCTGCCGACCTTGATGGAAGCCAGCGGGAGGGAACGACATGGCTGCAATCGAGCGAGCCTATTCACTTCCACCTCCGACGCCGAATTTTTCGGTATGGCCCGATCGGCTATCGCCAAAATGGCCACGGAGAAGATAGATCAAGTCTGTTCCAACGATCGCGAAACTGATCTCCTAATTCCTACCCACCAGACCGATAATTAGGAGACATATAATATATATATATATATACATACATATATGTATATGTGTGTTGATTTAGTGATACTTCAATTTGTTTGTTGTATATATGTATATTTATATGTATATAGATGGAACTATCATCTCTCTGAGGGCCTCGCACGGGCACCTTCGGAGTTGCGAACTGCTCTGACCTCCGATCGCAGCTCAGAGGACTGGACTGGACATGCAATATCTTCCGATGTAATGTCGCTCGTGTGACTTACAAACTTTCAAACACAGCAGAGGTGACTTCTCCGCTGACATCGAGCTCGACATCGATTCTGACCTCAGACAAGCAGCAGAGTCGCAAGACGTTGAAAGCGTCGACATTTTGCAGTGTGCAACAGAGTTGGCACATGCACATGCTGCCTGGACAGACTTCTGCATGGCGAAGCCTGTGCAGCCAGCCCGTGCAGGGGCAAGCCAACAAGCTATGAGCAACTGCCTCCGCATCGCGCGCCGAGATCTTCGAGCGACCGGCCTGCCGAAATTTCTGTGAAGTGTCCTCACTAAGCATCCAACAAGCAAAGCTGGGCTGACACCGGCTGACCTTCACGAAGTTGGACATCTCTTTATACCACCATACCTGCCAAGCTCAATTTTTGCAGGTCCAACACTCCTTGGCGGTGTGAACACACCGCAGGCACCACAAGGCACATCTAAAAATGCCAAACAGCACACAGGTGAGTACTTCGAACCGTTTTGGTGCGGCTTGGCATGTTCCAGCAAAGGCTGGTCCGCGGGCTCTACTGCTCTGGTGTCACTTGATGCTCCGCGAGCTTACACTGCCTGGCTTCGCTATGTGAAATTCGCAGGGACCTGATGGCAGTGCTGCATCTTCACAGATGTGCAGAGTACAGTAGGTCATAAGACTCTCAACTAGCTCCATGGGCACTCTGGGAGGTCGGTGCAGATACAAAATCTGCATTCGTAGTAGACATAGTGACATGGCGGTCTCTCGCCCAGGCAAAGTCCAGAGATTTCTCGAGGCTGTACTCCCGTTGGGTGGATCAGTGCCCGCTACACGGCGCACGCGTCCAAATACACGTCTTTTGAGGTGCCATCCGCTCACGCCCCTGAGCACTGGCCAGCAGCACGACGGGTGCAACAAAGCGGCGGGGACACATGCTGCCAGTAAGCAACGGGCTTCTGAGCGTTGCCACGCACGAAAAAGACAATCCTCAGAACGGGTGAGCTTGTCCTCTGTCAAGTCGCAACACTGAAGATAGGGTTGCAGGCTACATCACAGGGTCGAGGAGCACTGTGCAAAGCGAAATCTGTTGCCTCAATGTGCCTGGAAAGCCCAGATAAGGCGGAAGAACCACCTTCCTGAGGCTGAGACCCCATCAAGTGAAGTGTTGCTAGGGCCTGCCGAAATCTGGGCAAAGCGACCTTGGTCGCGAAACTATGGGTACACACATGAGGCCTCAACGACGAGCCGTGATGCTGGAGACTGGGGCTAGTTGCAGAGGTTCACGTTGCGCTGCTTGTACCGCACACAGGATTGAGACGCGCGCTTCATCAGCTAACGATGCAAACATCGTCTTCTGACACGAGGCCCAAAGATCTGCAACCTGGTTCCGACGAAGACCCATTGGAATGCTGCAGACGGGAAGTGCCGTCGCACGCCTTAACCTGCCGGCCGGTGGAACACTCCAGAAACCTGAACTGGCAGCACAGCGCTTGACAATTGCCTTTGACTCACATCGAATGCATAGGCCAGGCACTGGTAGACACGAGCAGTGTCTCGCAAGGGGCTGCCTGCCTAGTGGTCACCACGGCTTGTAAGCAGCATCTAGTCTGAGCAGTAAAAGCCCACCGAGTACTGGGCATCCTTAGCAGCTCCATCGTGTGGCTCTTCCGCTGCAAGCATGCGCAGGTAGCCCTGACAAAGCCGTGAGGATAGCGGATAGCTGCGGATAGCTCCGTGTGGGAAACCCCGCATCAGATCATCACTCAGGCCTGCCTCGGTTTTCCTTATCAGGTGCCGCTCGGCGTCCATCAGGGATTCCTGACACAGTCTCACCGCGAAGCTATACGGAGCTGTTGACGGTGCTGAAGGCCGCCATGTCCATGACAACTACGGCAATGGCATCACCTCCCGTCTTGCAAATCCCACCCGCCTGGCTGCAGTTGAAGTCCTTCGCCTGAGCAGCTTCCAAGTGTCATGCACGCTCCCGAGCAACAGACGCGGCTGCGTCCCGAAGTACGGCGGCTCATGACCCAGATGGGATGGCTAGTGCAGCTCGTCAGGTCTTTGCTGCGGCTCGTGCCTTCGGAGCCTTCTGAGCCTCGAGCAGCTAGCAGGCAAACCATGTCCAGGACATGGGAGACGCTCTGCTGAAACTGCTGGAAGATATGCCTGCCAGCATCACCGAGTTCACGAGAGCTACCTCTCGCCGACACCTTCGTGCCTTAATGATTTCTGCACAGCAGGTGTTCGTGCGAGTGGACATCGCACCTCCATTGGGCCACCGCTCCCCAAGCTCGAGGCACCCTTCCTCACTTCTGTGAATGAGGCCTCCTTCATTCTGCCCAATAGCTCGTGGAAAACCTTTTCCGGGTCGAAAAGGCACCTGTGTGGAAAGCTCACCACTTCTGTCGGCATGGACTGTCGGCGCTGGGCTCTTCAAAAAACGAGCGCCAGACACTGTCTGAATGTGGTGGAATGCACCTGGCTCCTTGGACAGTGCATGAAGGTAAAAAGCACAGTTGGAGATCGCTTTTGGTTTAGCCAAGTCGCGCTGCCCAAGTCAAACAGTTCAGTTCGACTTGCCTTCAGGCGCTTCAACCTGAGTTGGCATTCTCGCCTCTTCCGAGATGCCGAACGAAAACTGAAGTCTCTCCGACAATTTTAAGCCTGCACCGAAGCAGCGGAGCAAAGTCTGAGACCCCTGCCCGAGGAATGCCACAATAGGAATTTCAGCAGCCATGCAGTTCTCATGCCAGTATGCCAGAACATCTTTCAGTATCTGCTTCGGCACCGCATCCGCTGCTTCGATGCATAAGACGGTCATACATCTGGAGTTGCTGTGGCAGCTAACGAAGCTTGATGCTGCAGTACACTCGTCTTCGTCATCGGCTTCTGCTTCTTGAAGCTGGCTAGAAGAGTCTCCTCCTTGCAGCTGTTCACCGATTGCCCGGTTTGCCGCATTCAGGCTGGCGAAATCCCTTGGCCTCACGAGAGCCGTACAAACTTTGGGCACTTCCTGGTGCAGAAGCTCTCTTGCTCGGCACATCGTCGCGTGGTGGTCATTTGCCGATGTTCCGGCCAATGCCAGAATGACCGGCATCGACCTCTGAGGCTTTTCCATCTTCTCAGCACGGAATCCACGGAGTGCTTCTTTCAAGCCCCCGAATGCAGACTTCACATGCTTGTCCGCAATATCTGAAGCTGTCGCACACCACAAAGCGTCTCTGGAGTCCTGAGCCTCTGTCCTTGAAGGCAGCGCCTTCCATGTCAAAGGCTTCTGAGGTGGCTGTGGAGCTTCTCTGCACTTCTGCGGCTTCAACTGGAAGCGATAGGAAGCACGAGGGATGGTCGGGCTGGGCATCGTGTGCAGCCAAACCCCCTTGCAGAATCTGCGTCACAAATAAAAAACGAACTGTGATGAATACAAAGCTTTCAATTCCATATGGTCTGACTTCACTGTTGCGTGCTTAGACTAGAACCACACTGACACTGACATATTTAAGAGAACCTGCAAAAAACTGGCTGTGAGAAAAAAACAGCTGCGAAGCACAAAAGCATGGGCATGCACACATGCGCTTGGAAAGACTTGTCGGCAATCGGCTCTGCTCAAACGGTCGAAAAAACGGAAACCTTGCGAGACAGACTTATAGAGAAGTATCCATCCAAAACTGGCTCCTCCGTTGTGCTTTTCGGTGCAAGCTCATAGCTGATCCTGCTGCAATGTGCTACTCACTGTGTTACATGCTGCTCCAGAAGAGCAGTCCTTGCACACAAATCACTCGCACATATGGCAGAAACAGGCCCGAACTCGCAAAATAGTATCGATGGCACAACGCTCATCGGAAGGGAGCTTGAACGAGAGCTTCTTTAGCTCGAAGTCTGCTGTGAGACTGCGCAGCCAAGATTTGATCTAAAGCTGTTGCTGGTGTCGGCCTCGCCAGCAGAAGCATGGCAGAAGCAGGAACCACAAACGAAAACACCACGAACACCTAGGAATAAAAAGCAAGGAATCACGACAGGTCTCTAAGGGTCGCGCGCTTCTTTGGTGCCTGAGCACATCTAATTAGCCGCGCCACACTATAGACCCAAATCGCGCACATCACAGAAACAAGGCCCGAACAGCGACAAACCAGATCACCCCTGCTTGACAGGAAATTCGTGTTTGAAGCTAGAACCCGGCTAGAAGATGCGCGTGGCCTGTGAGGAAGATCACGAACCTTCGGGGCTCGGTTTCTGCACTCCGAGGACTTGCTGAAGCTGGAGCTTTCTTAGGCGCGCGGCCCCGTGATCGTCGTGAACTGGCTGGCGCGGCCCATGGTGGTCAATCCGCCATCGTCGCGATACCTCAAGACAAAGAGCAAAACCGTGCGAACTGCCAACTGCAAGTCTTCCCGGATCCTCACGATTCCTGGCGTCTGCATGAGGCAGGCGCATTGCCAGCACCTCCTCTGGGAAGAAGACCTTAAAAAAGAGTCGGCGACGAGGGGCGCTCTTGGCACCAGACAGAGAGTCAGACCCCGCCATGGTCCAGCAGGATGTGTCGGATGAAATCCCACCTGGCAGGTCACAAATCATCGGCTCTCCCTTGCAGCCAGTTAAGGCCCTGAGCTCGTCGCATCACCAGGCAGCAGCCCAAGAAGGTAAGGATGAAGGGCCCCCATCTGCACGGGTAGTAACACGAAGTGAACAAGTGGACTGAAATGGCATCGATATCTTCGAAGCACCAGCAACCGATGCCTCTGAAAGCACGGGCGCCCGGACTCGGGTCTTTCTGCGGCGATGCGCCAGAGGACCGATACGAAGATCACCTAGGATCTGCTTGCATGATTTGGGGCAGCAAATGCTCTTTAAACAGCTCCTAGAAGGTAAGCATTCGAAGCCGATGTGGGACTCCAAGGTGCCAGCGATGTTCGCACCGAAAGAGAAGTGATGAGAGGCTTCCCTCTTGCCTGAAGATGGCAGCCGGAGCATTTTTTCAATTACAGCGTTGCTACATGTGCAGATACCGGAATTGCAACAGTGGCCATCAGCGTTGTACATGCGCACGCTGAGGTGCAAGCATGACAATGCAGACCTACAGAATTAGATGCCTAAATATGCACAACATCATACAACCACAAAACAACTAACAAAATGAAACATCATCAACTCATGTATGCGCTATGTACGACTGTACCAACATACATTCCTCCCCCCACATTTCCCTTGCCGGTCTTACTGAATAGAGTATAGTTTTGCAGATATACAAAGACTGTCAGAAAAAGCGGAATTGATTCTGATGTTTCCTAAACCATGTGAGCCCTATAAAACTAGATCAAGAACCCTTTCAACACCCTGTAATGAGAGGGATGTGATGTCGAAAACCCCAAAATTCCTACCTCTTCCCTGGATGACAAAAAAGGAACCTATAACTAAAGCCTCAAAGCCTTAAAAGGAACCTATGAACCTCAAAGCCCGAAAATTAGGCACGGCGCCTTGTGAGGCTACACTCGAGCCGGCACCAAGCGCGGTGACCAGCAGCAAAGGCCTCAAACGTAAGCACATGAGGAGTGTCGTTTGCGGTTGGGAATCATGGTTTTGGGTTTTTCAGTCAGCGCTACACTACTTTTTACATTACGGCTCATGGAGTTTAGGAATTGCGAAGGTGCTGGAACATGTGTCGAATTCTGGCCCGTTGTTTCTGGTCAGTGCCCATGTGTTGCTAGTTTCTTGGCATGTAGTACCTCAAAAGGTACTGTACTCCAGTTTAGACAAAGCTACGTCTGCCCTCGCTGCGCATAGACGCTTCTCAACGTAGGGGCAATCTCCAATGTAGACGAAACTCTAGGTCTTGTGCTTCGTGTTATGTATCCCAAACCACAGAACCTGGACGGAAGGAAGCAGCAAAGCGAACGCATGGTGGGAAGGAAGCCAAACTGAATCTCGTGACGGGGCGAGCCAGCAAGTTGTTGGTGCTGCTGCTGCTGCTGCTGCTGCTGCTGCTGCTGGACATCTGAGGTCGGCCATGTCCGGTCAGGGCTCGGGGATGAGGATCGCGTGCATGCATTGTAACCTGTAACAGTTGCATCGTTAGCCGTTGTGACGTTGCAAGTACGTCTAGCAGTCTAGCAGGCCCGCCCGAAGGCAAAATCCGATCTAGGAAGTGCTACTAGTGCCTTGTAACGTAAGCCCCAGCTCCGGCATGCTCCGGCATTCACTGACTCGTTTGGTCCACCAGCGCACTACAGGCTCGATGTCAAGTTGAGAACACTGGCCACGACTCTGTTCAGAAACTTGGACAAGGGCACCCGGTCATCTGGTGCACGCCACTGAGTGAAAACATCCTCGACAAGCCAGTGTCTCATGGTGGCATTAACTGCCCCCGGCGGAAAGAACGCCAACATCGGATGAAGGAAGTTCGAACGGTGTGCATCCTGCACGCGTGTCGCTCCTACGCGCCCGTCGCCCAGCACTTTCTGGCCGTGGAAAGAGTCGCTGTACCGGAAAACCCACGTTAGCCGTGACATGCTCTTGTATCGCGCGTGGAAGTGTCGCAGAGGCACCTCCTCCAAGTATCGCAGCTCCAGGTGCGCAGGGTGGATCTCGAAAAGAACCATATCTCCGAGGAACTCGAACATCTGGTAGGGGCCCGATGCGCTGTTGATTCTTGAAAGCAGCATCTCCAGCAGCGGCTCAAGTCCCGGATCCGAGCCATCACCGTCGCACCCAGTCGCCGCACCGCACGTGAGCGTGAGTGGCACCTGCCATGAGATCTGGGGCCAGGGAACGTTGAAGTTCTTCTCCTCCAGGAGCCGAAAGAGAGCGCGGGAGGTGTAGCGAAAGCCGTGGATGAAACCCCCGGCCGACTTGCGAAAGTCTAGGCTGTGGCTCAAGGTGCCTGCAGCATACATGCCGGGAATACCCTGCACTTCCCAACCCGACGTGATCTTGGGATACTTGCGATTATGCGTGAGCTCGATCTTCAAGGATTCGTCTAAGATGTCTGCATCAAAGGTCCATCCGAAGCAGCGGATGACGTGGTCCATGGGATAGCGTAAGTTGTCGTGGCTCCCAACCTGCCGGACCTGGGAGGAGACGGAGACGGCTTTGCAAAACGGGGCAAGTACGCACTTATCAGGCGGTGGGTTGCAGCATGTTGCTCGCTTCGCTCGCCTGGCTTGCATTGCGTCCTTTCGTGCTACCTCGCCCCATCCAACCCTCGTGCGCGCAGCGTTCGGCTCTGTCAGCCAATTGCTTAGGAACACCGAGGGTGCAGACGAGACACCTGAGCCAGTTCTGCTGCCAGCTGCGGATTTGCCCTGAGGATGCTGGTGGAGACTTGGAGGTTCCAGGTGCCTATCTTGAACACTTGCGGATCGATGCCCAACTTGTCTAGCTTCTCCATGGAAAGGAACTTGTTGTCCTCGGAGAAGAAGTCAAGCTCTTCATACTTCCAGCGTGTCTTCTTTTCAATGTCGGGATATTTATTCAAGATGCCTTTGAGCTGCACGTGCAGAGCGGATTGGTTCTGGACAGTTGCAATCTCTACCATATAGGAGAGGTTCTGGCCACCAAGATCATGCATCTGCCGACAGCGGTCACTGTTGCATTCCTCTTTGCTTACTGCCCACACGCACAGTCTGTTCTCACATGGCACGACAGTAAGTCGTTGGGAGGCTGATTCAAAAGCATCGAAGTCGAAGGTATCAAGACTCTTTAAGAGGTAGGTGTCCAGAATCGTCGTTCTGCCTGCCCTGATGTCTCCGACATAGTGCGTCTGGTATGCGAAGCGGACCCCTTTCCCTCCGTCGGGCAAGGCTCGAGCGCGCGAAAATATGTGGACCTCCGAGGTATAGCGCTGGAGCTCCTGCGCTGTCTCCAGAGCGGCATTCCCTTGTCCAAGGATGATTACAGCCTGACCCTCGAAGGACTCTCCGGAGCTTGGGAGATCCTCATAGCCCAAGACATGCGCAGCACCGTCCACACGAAGTTTCCCCAAGCGTGGCTTAGCCAAACCTGTCGCGACGATCACTTCGGCGCAACGCCACTGACGGCTGCCTTCCGGCGTGGCAGCTTTGACCTCGAAGGCCCCGCCTTGTCCGCGCCGCACTTGCTGCACGCTGCTGTTGTATTCAATACGATCCCTCTGCTCCTTCGCAAACTCCTGCAAATATTCAACGAGAACAGATGCATGGGGGAAGAGTTCCTTTGACCTTTCTGTAACTGGTGGGGTCCGGTCGTTTGGCTCCCTGACATCAATCAAGGAGTTCCAGTCGTGACGGAATGCGAAATCTGCGCTGCGTCCTTCCCTAACTTTCCGCTTGTTCAGCGAGATCAGCTGGCGATGCCTTGGGTATTGCTCAAAGAAGCTGCCAGCCCGGGCCTGCTTCTCGAATATCACATAGTCCCGTCCGGCGTGGAAGAGAAAATGCCCCAGCTGGACACCAGCAGGACCAGCACCGATGATGCAGTACTGCGTCTGATTCTCCGCAGCAAGGCAGAATCTCCACCAGAGAGTGACCAGTGCCAGCTGCGAGGTGAAAAAGATGCGCATCGGTGCATGGAAATCGGCAAAACGTTTCAATACGAGCCTTGATACGAAAAGCTACCAAAAAGCCCACCTACAGCATGAGGAATCCTGATGAGGATGGTGTATTGCCCCGTTCACAGGCAGCGGTACGCCGGGAAAACGCCCAAAATGGGAAAAACATCTGGAAAGCACCCTCCCTGGTTCGGCTGAGCTGGGCACCAGCATCAGGATCCGACGAGGCTCGGCACTGCGATCAGAACTGCCTCAGTGATTCGAAGACCACCCCGCTGTGAAACCCGATGTCGGCCCAAAATTGCTCCGGAACATGAACAGAAAAACACATCAGCTTTCCTCTTCTCACCGCGCAGTCTAGAAAATCGATAGTTTCTCATGCAGTGGGTAATGTCCACTTGCAAGTCTGTACAGTAACTTGTGGCGAATGCCTGGTGCACCTGCCTGCGCGGTGACACAGAACCTGAAAATCATGTTGCCTACGTTGAATCAATACGCCGAAAATGCATGCCCGACATAGAAACGTAACAGGGCCGGCTACGCTCCGCTGCTGCTCTCAGACTGCTCTCAAATTGTGGGTGTGTCGAGGCCAATCTGATCGATTCCATCCTGGCAGTTCGTTGGAACTTAAACCCATTTTTCCGGCCAAAGCGTGGCGCGTCCTTGCCAGTGTAGAGCTCGGCAACCAGGATGCCTATGGCCGAGAACATTGCCTCGAAGCAGCCATTGGCCGGCGCATTGGTTGCTCTGGCACGAACGATTCAGAGACAAGCGACAAATCTGCCGTTGTTCAGCTCCTTGTTCCTCAAGTCAAGTCGCAGGGTACACAGGTCTTCATAAACTGCGGTGCTCAATTTCTTCGACCCCCAAGAGGGCCTCATGTCAATGTCGTACTGACCCAAGCTCAGCGGGTCGCCGAAGTTGCCCGGCTCCTTGCTGGGGTCCTTCGTAGGTTTTAGGTATTTTCAGTCGTCAGTGGGGAATGGAAGAATGGTCGTAATAATAGTAGCTATCATTGTACCCCATTCCTCCATTCCCTACTACTAGTAACCAAAGCTAAGTTTGACACGAAACAAGGAGCAAGGAGCTCCGAATGTGGCACACCATGCAGCAAGTCAGCTGCTACTCACCTTTCGACTCCTGATAGACCCGACCAGAACCAAAAACCACAGACCCCAGCCACTTCAAATACCCGAGGACTCTGAGCTTTGCGCCTCCGTCCACAGAGCCAGCTCAAGCCTGAGCTCCAAGCTCGAAAGGTCACATCTCTTCAGTGACTCTTAGAGAGTGCCTCCATCTGTGATGCATTTGTTGTCCAAGCTTTCTCTCTTCACTGGGTGGCTGTCAAAATTAGGGTCCCTTTGTGGGTACCCTAAATAATAATAGGTGCCGTATTATAATAGGGACCCCAAAAGGGACCCTAATTTCGACAGCCACCTAACTGGCGGGAGCTTCCTCTGCCAGGAAGCACTCCGCTGAGAAGGAAGAGTGCGGCGAAGCCGTAGGTGCCAGGCCTCATTTCAAACATGTGCAGAAGCCCCATGAAGCCCTTAAAGTAAGTTTAGGGTTTAGGGCCCCGAAGATCCTTGCCAAGGCCTTTTTTGGGCCTTCTAAGACGCGGGCGCAGTGGTAACAGCTCCAAGGCCAGTTGGAACTTCGTCAAAGCCGGGGAATTGCACGTAGTGCTGCACGGGACGCGTGCTCGAAGACGGCTAGGGCTGGACTTTGGAAGCTATGAGCATGCGGACTCATGCAACAAACGTTCTGCTAGAAATACCACCACCATTGCCGTTGTTCACGCTGCAGCTCCTTCCACCACACTGTTTCCGCGATTGCCAGCCAATCTCTGCTGTTTCTGTTGTCACAGGCAGTTGAACAATGCAATTGATATTGCTGGTACTACTGTCATCAGTACCGTATCATGCAAGGGATACCAGTGGCACGACTACAGGTAGCTGGCAAACACTGTCAGCAGTGCGACCATCTCTAGTCTTTGAGTTTCGGAAGCTTGCATCAGCCTGGTCATGCAAGCCATGCAACAGCACCGCTCTGGCAACGAGTGCTACATCAAAGCCTGAACAGCAGCTCCCAACGCGGCCATCATCGCCTTCCGCAGAAAACACAGGCTGAAACTACTGAACATTTCAGGGTCGGTGCCTACCTCCCAGGGTTCTCGCAAACAAAAACAAGACCTTGTCCTTGTCAACATATGGATAGTATGAACATTTTATTCGCACAAGCAAAAAAACAAAAGATAGCAGAACATCAAGATGGAACTCGGTAACAAGGACATGTTCCGATTTCGCACATTGGATACATGCTTCAAGGCAGCCTTCCTTCAAGACGTGCAATCAAGTTGCCACACGGCCATGCTTCAACTCCGCAGCACGGAGCTTTCTAAAATTCTCCTGCGAGCCACGCTGGACGATGAACAGGCGGGGGTGCCAGCATCAGCAACGGCAACAACAACCAGGGATGTTACAGAGAAAGCTGCGGCTCCTCATCGCCAGTAGGGCAGAAACCCGCAGGGTCCTTGGCACTGACAAAAGAATCTTTCATGCCTCGATCACTCTCTTTAAACTCCGAGTCCCCTGCGAAAAAGTCCAGAGGTGGCAGAACCCCAACTTCCAGGCGGGGGTCGAAGGGAGGCGGCGGAGGGGGGGTGGCTTCCTCTTCTGCAGCTCGCAGAGGGGAGGCGGTGTAAAGTGACCAATCCCCCCAAGCGGAACCAGTCAGTCCGTCTTGGAAGAACATGCCAATGATTGCCATCATCGCCAGTCTTCCGTTTGCAAGCTCTGCTGCAAGCTTGGATTTGCGAGCTTCTGGGTCTTCGACCTTCCCGATGAAGGTAGGGAACCCGACGCCATAGTTTCCAGGTTCGCCACTTTCCGTGGAATCCTTCATGGAAAACTTGCCCTCACGGGGCCCTCGCCCACCAGTGGTGGAGTCTGCTTGGAAGAAACCAGTGGTCTCAATCAGCCCACAGAAAGCAATGATTTGAGCACCGCCGAGAACTGGCAGCCTTACATGTTGCACTCTCTTCTTCACAACAATCCGAGTGCATTCAAGAAGCATCTTCAAACGAACACGGCTAACTGAGATGGGAGCTTCGACAGCGCAGCCAGGCCGTTTGGGACGTCGCTGAATTTCAAACCCAAAGACGGCGAGAGATACCCCGGGAACTTGAAATATTCCGGGACAATATATCCCATCGTAGCATACATCGCCTCGTTTGTGCCAGCTCTAACGTGCAGACTCAGAAGAGTGGATGCCTGCCAGCATGAAACATCCCTGTGGAAACCTCTAGCTGTAACGATGTCCCCCGTGTACACACACATGCAAATGCACAGGCACTGCCAAACAAATACAAAAAAAAACACGCCCGGGCCTGCCTTCTTGCCAGCACTAGATCTTAAATATGCTCGATTCTTTCCGTGTAGACTGCTTGGCGCACATGTGTGATGCAGTGCACATGAACATTGCTCGATTCTTTCCGTGTAGACTGCTTGGCGCACATGTGTGACGCAGTGCACACGTGAAGATTGCTCGATTCTTTCCGTGTAGACAGCTTGGCGCACATGTGTGATGCAGTGCACACATGAAGATTGCTCGATTCTTTCCGTGTAGACTGCTTGGCGCACATGTGTGATGCAGTGCACACATGAAGATTGCTCGATTCTTTCCGTGTAGACTGCTTGGCGCACATGTGTGATGAAGTGCACACATGAAGATTGCTCGATTCTTTCCGTGTAGACTGCTTGGCGCACATGTGTGATGCACTGCACACATAAAGCTTGCTCGATTCTTTCCGCGTGTAGACTGCTTGGAGCACATGTGTGATGCAGTGCACACATGAAGATTACCACCGTCGACAGATGCCGAAAGCGGCGAGGACGAAGTCATCAAATTTTCTAGGCCCCGGTCGTGTACCGTCGATGCTGCTTCAAAGCCTTGCCCAACCCAGTGAGACATTCGCAGACAAAAGGCACAAAGAGGGACCTGTGAACATTTCTGTTTCGGACCTCCAGGCCGTTTACCATGTGTCGAACCCGTTGTCATCACGACGCACGACGATGCGTGCAGCCATCTTATTTCAGAAGTCTGCTATGACAGCAAATCTCGCATGTTCAGCTTTCCATGCTATCCTGGCTAATCACATGCTCACGCTGCCTTATTAGCAACACTGTGAATGATCCATGCATGGAAGTCTCAGTACGTATATGGGAGCACAAACACCAACACAGCAGCCACCATGGCAGTAGTACTAGTAGCACTAGTACTATAGTACTAGTACTACCGTAGAGGGTACCAGTTACGCTCCACAACCCAAACCTTAAATGCCTTCCTGCACAAACATCCACGACAAAGACCGTGTCTTAGCACCACAACTGGGGCACAGAAGTTCAGGCTCGTGGCAATGCGGCCATGCTTGATCTCCACAGCGCGACGGCGCTTGAAGGTAGCCTCATCCTTGTCCGCACTCAATCCGAGTGGATCCCAGAAGCCCACCGGATCTTGAACACCAAGCTCTTTTGCTGGATCAAAGGATGCTGATGCCGTCGACTCGCCACCAAAGAACTGCCTTGAGCGATGTTTCACGTTCATGTGTCTTTGCCAAGCTCTTCTTTGCTGTGCCCATCATATTTCAGGACCATTGAACACAACGGGTAAAAGGAATCATAACGCAAGCAGCAACAATACTACAACCTCAGAACAGTGTTCCTGGCAACCCTGATGAAACGCACACTTATGGAAATAATGACACTGCCAGGAAAGGTAGGTACAACCATGACTGGCAGAAATTATGGTCATGATGATTGCCCAGATGAAGAGCAGGCATTAAAGATTCACTACTAGATGATGGTGGGACCGCAACACCAACATATGATTGAGCCAGGCCTGACCACCTTCGTGTTCTTGCTGCGTGCGGAGGCAGCAACCTGCACAGAGTTCAGAAGATTCCCAGGCTGGCACCAAACCTTAAGACCTTAATGGATTGACCTGCGAATTTGACCCAACTATTTCCTCGTAAACTCCTTTGTCAGTTCCAATCCGAGGGGCCACGGCGACTGCCGCCGCAGAGCCAGCTGCAGTGAATGCAGAGATCGAGCTAGAGCGAGCAGTGTCCTGCTGTGCAAATGTTCAACCATCAGAAAACGATTCCATCGTTGCATGTCGTTGCTGATCTGATATCACCGAAGCCACATACAACGCATCCTGAACTGCCTGGCCGCGTGCAGGCCTTGACAGTTCACCCCTAACAGCTGCTGTAACTCTGCAGGCATGTCAGAGCTCTGGTCCACTGCAATTTCTTAATGCGTGCGAGCAGCTGTGATGCACGAGGCACGCTGCCTCGGAATCTTCGGCACAGACAACCCTGCTTTAAATTGTTAGCGCGTGCATTTTGCCCTTCAAGTACACGCACCATGCAAGCGTTTGCTTCTGAAGGCCCCACCCGGAGTGACGAACAAAGGCGCGGCTGCAAGAGCTGCGGCTGGCAAGGCCAGGGCCAACGCTTTGCGAGGAGCCATCTTCCTCTTCCTCGGTAGATGCTGGCAAATTAGTCATCAAGCGACAAGCCGGCTGGACGCTAGGCGAAAACTCCTTCGTGCTCGCCATTCAGAGCCGCACATGCTACAGGGACTGCAGCAGCCTCCTTGCAAACCGGGCTTCGAGCAGCAAGTTGCTTCGCCGTCAATCTGGGAGCCCAAACTTTGCAACCGGCTGCGGATACTAGGTCGGCAGCGGAGGCATGAACTTCTACCAGATTACGATGCGCGGATGCTCACAAAGCGACACGAGGGGAAAGGCTGCGACCAGCAAACCAGCAGGTGTTGCCGCAGTGGGAGCCTCCTGGGCATCTGGCATCACGCACAACGCACGGCCAACAAGCCATGACTGTGCGAAGAAGGCAGAAGCAACCAAACCGAAAGCCGAGGTTAGCATGGTTTTCTGCGTCTCCTCTTCGGACTGTCAGCAGCCTCAAGTGACGAAAGCCAGCTTTGAAACTCAGTTTGAGCTGCAGAAGGCGAGTTTGCTCACTTCCAAGAGGGCGGCTCGGGCTTGTCTGCCGAATGAGTCGTTCGTTCTGTGCGGTGGCTGAACATGGCAATCCAGTCAGTTGCAGCGGCTGAGCCGCTGAGCCCCAACCTCGGCGCTGTCGGCCGATGCCTTTGCCTTGATGGCATCACGTGGCAGAAACTGTGGAGCCAGAGCCTCCCTTCCGGCCTCCAGAAATGATTGTAGAGCTTGGGCAGCACTGAGGAAAAAGTACGCCTCGGTCTTAGGGTGATGTTGAGTTTGAGTGCCAGCCTGATGCGAACGTGAGAATCAGTTTGAACAACTAGGAGCACTGAGCCTCCCTCTGCCAGGCTGCCGCTGAAAGTCCACGCCTCAATAACAGCAACTGGGGCTGGGCTCGCAACGGCCCAAACTCAAGAGCCCGAAAGCCACAAAATCCCAGTCCACCCCCACTCCACACCGTAGGAGGCTCGGACACCTGCACCGAGGCTCTCACTAGGCCCTGAAACGCTGAGAGGTGCTGCTCCGGGCCTTGCCTGAGTGGCAGCAGTCGTCATCGTCGTAGTAGCAAGAGCAGGAGAAGGAGGAGGAGGAGGAGCCGGGAGCAGAAGAACAGGAACTGAATAAGGAACAGCAAACGGAGCCAGAAGCTGCGGCAGGAGTAGCAGCAGCAGCAGCAGCGGCTAGGAGCGTGGGCTCATGTGATTTGGGTACTTCTCGAATGGGCAATCCGCTCTGAGAAGGCCACACATCACGGTAAAGTGTGGAGACGGCTTCCTGGATGCTGTGCGATGGAGATTCGCTCTGCAGCTTATGAATAGCAACGCAACTTCCTAAGTGTGCTGGCTACGAAACGCGGCATAGCAACATATTTCCTTCATTCATGCTGGCTTCCCGGGCTTCCCCTCGCCTCAAGCATGGAGGCAGCCGCACAAGGCCAGACTTAGTGAGTTAGTCCTGGTTGCTCCTTCTTCTTGCATATATCTGATAGTTCATGTTACTGAACAGCAAACGCACAATGATCCGATCCGCAGCCACTTAGACTTGCTTGAGCCAATGGCTCCAAGATTATCCAGGAGAAACGCCGGACTTCGCTTCAAGAGCTCGAAGATCCACCCTCCGCCCACTTTTCCGCAGCAGGAAAACTTGCATAAGTGTTTCGTTTCTCCTTCGGGGGCTTAGCCCTTCTACTCTCGGAACAGCACCGCAACTGCTCTTTCTGCTTCTTGCAAAGACTTCATACCGCGCATGCTACACATGGCTGCTCAGTGCAAGGGCTGTTGCTCAGCGAAAATGGGACCATCAGACTAGCCCTGCTGTCTGCTGTCTGTGCAGAATTAAACAGTTGTAACAAAGGTTTTTGAGCCACCACAACTCGGCTCTCGGCTGCTGGACAAATTGAGCTGTCGCGCTGCTCCCAGCTCACCTCATGAGCATCGTATGCGCCGTATGCTCTTCATGAGCTGAGTGCGGTTTTTAGTGACGCTGTCGAGCCCCGGACCGTTCATTCGTCATCGTCCTCGAAGTAGAGACCGCTGATCTCACCGTCTGGAGTCTGCCAAGGCTCGAGCAGGCACCTTGGCAGGCGATGTGATTATGGAAAGACTCGCAGCTGCGGCCCGCGGCCAATGAGGCGGGAGCCCGAAGCCCGCCCCGCAGAGGCCCCAGACCGCAGCAAGCGTTGGCCTGAAGACAAGAACTTGTAAGAAACTTGTAGCAGAAGGCTCGCTTGCCAGCATGCTGAGACCGAGGCCCACCACCGAAAAAGCCTGATTCACGGTGGTTCCATGCATGATGGTCTTCCTACGAGGGATCCCCCGCTGATGATGAGTGTCTGGCCCACGATGGTCAAGAAGATGCCGCCACCGACGATGTATCGCGGGAAGGGTCGCTGGCAAGTCACAAGAAATGTCCACAAGCACGGAGTTGCTACGAAATCGATGAAGGCATGAAGTTAGGGCAGGTTCAATGCACCATTCAGCGGCCTCCCAGTTGGGGTCGTAGCCTTTCTTCTTCTTCTTGTTGAAATTGAACAGCACTTCCTCTACAAGTGTCATCAGGCTGGCGGCTAGGGGACGCTCACAGGTGAGAGAGCACCATATAGTTTGCCAGTTTGCATAACTACATTCCGGGGTATCCTCTTCATCAACTTCTCGCGCCCGGAGACTGACAGGTGATGGGCCTCGGGCGCCATTCACTCCCTCCCACTGGTGGCTTCAAAGTCGAGGTCAACGTCAAGGCTGCGGCTGGTAGCTGTTTGCCTTCGGACTGAGACCTGACCGCCGAGCGTGCCAAAGTGCCAAGCAGCGACTCCCTTGAGAAGTCAAGCGCATGAGAATGCGCCTGTGCGGCAGGAGCCGTGAAGAGCAAGTTGAGGCCGAACACCTGATCAGCTCGTAGTCCTAGACTTCAAGTGGAAAGCCACAAGGTTCATCTCATGAAGCTCGGAGGCCAACGAAGTCGCATGCGGCCACCACGCACAGCAAGACTGCCTCAGAGAGGCTTCAGGCAACAAGATACACGGAGAAGGTCGATCATGCAGGTCTCAGGGCACTGCCACACACAGTGGCGAGGATTGCCTCCGCCGCAAGGTCGGCATGTCCACCGTCTGATGCAGCCGGATGAAGCAGCTTTCACCACAGAACCGGCTTGTCACTGTCGCTCTATGTTCTGACAGGCAACCCAGGCCTGAGGGTATGCCCCTCGCGGCTACTTTATGTTGCAGCGACTTTGAGCCAACAAGCTGCTCGTACTCTGCGTACACGCTCTGACGTTGACGTCTATTTGCTCAGCTAGCGCCGCCTGACGGACTTGATGGACTGCTTTGTTTTGACGCGGCGCCCGCATGGGTAGGCAGTCAACTTTGTCCCGCCGGTACTCCAATGCGGTGAGGGCTCATGGTGAACATCTCTATGGATTCACTGCGGCTCCCTGTCTCATGCGAACCAGGCACCGACACCTCGTCCCATTCCACAAATTGCGGCTTCGGGATTGAAAAGTGCCCAGGACAGCAGAAGCTTCGTACAAGTCAGGCCAGGATTCAGGCCGGTGGCAGCCCGCGGTGTGTTCGTGTAGCGAGAAACCAAAACCTTGGAAAAGAGCCCGGTCAACCTCTTCACCTTTCCTTTCTTGTGGGGCTTCACCCTTCTCTCCCTCTCGCTTTCTGTCTGCCAGGCATAGGGGTCGCAGACGTCCCGCAGACACTCGGCACGCCCGACCACCAATCTGTTTGTTTTGTGGTCGGCTTTGTCGTATCCCTCTGGCTTGCACTTGGTCAAGAGGGGCACGCCCCTCCGCACATGCGCGCACCGGTTCCACGTCTTTTGGTGAAACCCCCCGGTCGTATTAACCCTTCACGCGCCTCGTCCCGGATCCGGTCTGAAAGGTTATCGGCAGCGGTATCTGTGCCCCGGGCCGCAGCTCGCCAGCTTTCGGCTTGCTCCGTAACAAAATGTGGGCTGGTCTGTGTGCCGTCTGCGCTAGTGAGAACAACATACGCAAGGCAAAGGAAGCAACTGAGCACCACAAACTGAGGGCCCGGCCATTGTTGTCAACATCACTGTGTCTACATCACGGTTGATAAATAAAACAACAGCTTTAGCAGTGTGACTCATCCTGTATGGGCCGTCCCCCTTTCACGGTCTTGCTGGCTTGCTCGCTCGCTCGCTTGCTCAGCTTATGGGTCTTTCTTTCTCCAGGCTTGAGGGCATGCCCCCGCTGGGGCAGCCTGTGCTGTTGGAGGTGTGCACGGTTTTACGTGCAACAAAGGTTATGGGTCTCTCTCTCTCTCTCTCTTTATCCCTCTCTGTCCCTCTCTAGGACTTCGGGATGTTGACTGTAAGAGTCCCACCACCAGAATGGAAGCATAGACCGTGACCTTCGGCAGCCAGACTCTATACCGACTTCTTCCAAACACTTGCAGCTCTTCCTCAGGCACCAACCAGTGTCAGGTAGAACACAATCGATATGGCAGTGAGGCCTGGTCAAGCTGTGAATGGAAACAAAAAGCTCGATGCTTCGCATCTTCATGCTGACAAAAACAAGAAAACCAAGCTCTTGTGAAATGCGCTGCGATGGCATGATGCATGCTTTGCAGCATTTGCCATCAAGAAGTGGCCTGCCCTTCCCAGTAGTCACGATCCAGATTCCAGATAGGTCAAGAGTCAACACCCCGTGCCTCCCCGCAAGGAATTGCCACAGAGCCTCATCACCTCCCGTTCAACTTTCACACGATACATCGGTACACACAAAGACCAGAGCAATGCAAAAAGATCAAGGTCGTACAGAACAGAACACGTGAGCACCTTTGAGTCCTTCGGCAGGGTGTAGACGAAGCCATTCACGAAGCACTGCACAAAAGAAAAACGGTCCACGACAAGCACAGCTCCGACTCAGAGAGGGGATGAAGAGCAAGAGCAAAACAGTGCGTGCCACGACCAGCTGCATCAGCATCGCCCATGTCGCCACAAACATGTAGTCCTAGCCGCACAAACACTGGACCCTGGCAAGCGCATGGGAGGGCTACTACGGGCTTGTTCGGGTTTGGGACATTGCTGCCAGAATGTCTCAGTCCTGCGCGAAGCCTTGGGGAACGCCAGGCCTGCGCAATGGCAAACGGCTGTCTGCTGCCAGGCATGGCGTGTCTATGCACCGATTAGACATCATCATCTTGAACATCCGAGGCCATGACAAACCTACTGGAGTTCTGATGTCGTTTGCAGCGACCTGAAGAAGCCGGCCACGAATGCCAAGTTCCAAGAGCTCCTGCCTCTGAGCACGGAGCCCAGCACTCAATGAAGAGGACGGAAAGCATCGGACAAATGCTGACAGTGTCCTGTCACGAAAACAAACAGCTGCAACTGCCTGTGGATAACCCAAGCGGCATGTCCTTGGCAGTTGTCAGAGTCCTCGCAGGCTTCAGGAATTTGCAGAGCCAACAATATGCAGGTCATTCACTCGAAGCTGCTTGTGTTCTGAGGGCTCCTGATGCCGTCCAGCATGCTGACGTTCGACAGCTGCCTGCAAACTACGTCTCAACTCTAGGTTGCATTTCTGCCGACTTTGCATGGCAAGATCAAGCCTAATGGATACGCAGAGGAACAGGCAGAAATGGACCTGAACCCAACTAACTGGAACTCCAGATGCCCATGAAGAAAGACAGCAGACAGTAGACTGCAGCACCCTTCTGTGCATCCGACGATGAAGAAGTAGGTGCCGAGATGCATCACCTGAAGCAGGTGAAGGCTGCTCTCAGCAGAATCAGAACTGTGCTGAGAGCTCAAGGCAGCGGCCAAAATTACCCACACGGGCTCGTCTGTCTGACCTGCAGGGCTTCTGGCATATCAAAGTGTCCATCCACCCAGGACATGATGCTGGGCCGCTGGCGCCAAAGATGGGCACAAATTACACAGACTCCCAGGTACCTCAAAGGTCCAAGTCATGCGCCTTTGTCTGAGGTGGACATGTCAACAGGATGACTTTGCCCTCGTCCCCATCCCGTGGCGCACATGGCTGCTGTGCTCACCCAGCGCAGCGAGCTCATGAAGATGTACCTCACTGAAGACTGCACGGACTGCAAGATCCCGGGCTTGAACTCAAGCCGCCACACACACACACACACACACACACACGTGCACACAGCCGTGCCGTAACAGAACCAAGCCACAGCCGGGGATGACCGGTTGCGAAGTCAACTATGTCCACGGTTCCGGGCACGACCTCGCAGGGTGTGACAATTCCATGCTAGGACCGATAGGAAGACTCGTCGATTCAGGCAAAACTACACTCATTGTAAGTGTGGAATCATGAGGGGAGCACCTTGAGCTCAGCTCTTGTGATGAAGGGAGTCGCTGTTGCAACAGCTGCCTGCACGAGATGACTACAGGTCCAATGGCAACAGCCGCCACATTCATCATCCTCATCAAAGCAGAACAACGCAATAGTAGTAGCAGGAGCAGCAGCACCAGCACAGAACATTATTGGAAGTAGTAGCAGCAGTAGGAGTAGGCGTAGGAGTAGGAGGAGGAGGAGGAGGAAAAGGAGGAGGAGTAGTTGGAGTAGTAGTAGGAGTAGTAGTAGTAGTAGTAGTAGTAGTAGTAGTAGCAGGAGTAGTAGTAGTAGTAGTAGTAGTAGTAGTAGTAGTAGTAGTAGTAGTAGTAGTAGTAGTAGTAGCCATTAGAAGAATAATAGTAGCACTACTAGTAGTAGTAGTAGTAGTAGTAGTAGTAGTAGTAGTAGTATGACCCTTACGGCCTTCTGTCCTCAGCATGAGTAATCCGTGTGGGACGCCACAAGACGGATACTCCAGGCGCCGGCTTCACATGAAGTACGACCTACTTGCTGAGACAGGTGCACAGACGGACGCGTCTGTTCACAGCTAGGTGGCGGAGGAGGAAGCAACCGATGTACAGTTAAGCCACATGAGTAGATTGGGAGGAACAAGCGATAGATGCTTGCAGAATATGTGTTTCACGAGTGCACGGGACCAAAGGCGCCCGCAAAGCGCAGAGCACGCTTGCGCAGCGTTCAATTGAAAAATAGTAGTAGTAGTAGTAGTAGTAGTAGTAGTAGTAGTAGTAGTAGTAGTAGTAGTAGTAGTAGTAGTAGTAGTAGTAGTAGTAGTCATCGTCATCGTAGTAGTAGTAGTAGTAGTAGTAGTAGTAGTAGTAGTAGTAGTAGTAGTAGCCGTCGTCGTCGTCGTCGTCGTCGTCGTAGTAGTAGCAGCGGTAGCAATAGCACAAGTAGTGGCAGTAGTCGTGGTAGTAGTAGTAGTAGTAGTAGTAGCAGCAGCAGGAGTAGTAGTAGTAGTAGTAGTAGTAGTAATAGTAGTAGTAGTAGTAGTAGTAGGAGAAGGAGGAATAGGAGGAATAGGAGTAGCAGTAGTAGTAGCAAGCACAGCATGCAGAAAGCTCATTGCACTCAAGCCCGGCCTGCACGAAAAGGGAAAGGCAGCATATGTACATTGCCGTTTCAGCGGTGCCTCAGTGTACGGCGTCAATTTGACAGATGCTTCCAGGAGTCACAGCATCGAAACGCTTCACTTCAAGAACGAGTGCACAGGCGGTTGCCTTTTTAAACATGAAGTGTGCGTGCTGGACCATCCAGCAGCGGGAACATGTGAAGTCGCTGGGGGCTTCTGTTCAAGCAGGGACTGAGACTGTACAAAGTCCAAACGGAACGGCCCCCTGCACTCTGGTACGGGGGCTCAATCTGCTCGATGCCCTCGCCAGGACCACAGGGAGTGCCATTTTGATTTTAGCCAGTCGGCCCAGCGGTTCACTCGGTAGCTGAAGACAAGAAGTGTAATGAAGGTGACAAAAAGGACTCGCTTCCACCTGGGCTTGGACAGTGTGCTGCGCTTCAGCGCGTGTCGATCGAGCTCCTCCACGTCCTCTGCCGCCAAACGCCATCCAAGGCAACCAGCAGTGTCTTGTGCCTGCAACATGCTTCGGGTACCCACCAGCGGGATTGCCCCGTGGCAGATCGTCCAGTTCAGACAAATCTGCGCCATGGACTTGTCATACTTGCTCGCCAGTCTTTCGATGACACCTCGCAGGTCATGCAACTCATCCATGACGATCCTGGTCATCTTGGCCAAACGGATTCTGGAAAACTTCTCGTCTGTGAGGGCTTGTGTGAGAAGGCCTTGGCCGATCGGCGCATATGCAATAATTTGTACATGGTTCTCCTGGCAAGCTCTCAGGGTCTCCTGCAGCTCTGGAGATTGAAAACACAAAAGATTGAACATGATCTGATTCGCTGCGATTCTTAGGCCATGCTTTTGAGCCTCCGCGCAGGCTCGTCGGACCTGCTGCGCGTTGCAGTTGGAGATGCCGATTTCACGGATTCTCCCGGCCTTTGCCTCTCGACAAGCTGCATGCACCCAATGCTCTAGGCGGAGAGGGTGAATCGGAGTGTGAATGAAATAGATATCAATGGCATCAACGCCCAAGCGCTGACAGGATCCCTCCAGAGCTCGCGTGAAGCTTCCGTGCGTCCAGCGGGCCAGGGTTGGTAGGAATTTGGTCGCAATGATGCAGGGATGGGGTTGCTTCTGATCTTTCGCAGGCTCAACGAGGACATCCCTGAGCCTCTCTTCGCTGGTTCCACCTCCATAGCCTTCAGCGGTGTCAAAGAACTGTACTCCATGAACTTCTGTAAACTCCTGGCAGATGTTGGCACAGAGCTGGTCGTCAAGATTGCCACGATTTAGCTTCTGATCCAGCCAGGTCCGGCCCCATTGCATCGTCCCGATGCCGAGAGGCTGCCGCAGCGTAAGGCTTCCGATTTGGACATGGCCTTCCCGGCCATCATCCGCCATGTCTGCAGTTTGCGACAAGTTGAGGCTTGGAGCCAAGGTAAGCTCAGGAAGTCGGAGTGCGGTCGGCCCCACTGCCAAAGCGGAAGGCTACATGGGAGATTCGCAAGACAGCTGAAGACCCAGAATTAGAAGAATCACTCTTGTCAGGACCCTGAGTTCCCTTAACTCCTTGATGCAAACTAAGAATCACCTCCGGAAGCTGCTGAGGCCTTGGCTTGGTAGTTCTTCGCGATGTGCATCGACAGTCAACTGAACTCCCACGCAAAACACTGCCAGCCTCAGTGCCGGTCTCTCGAAAGACAACACAGGCAGATTTGCTTTTGGGTGGCTCGCCCAGATGATCGATATGTCTCTTCTTCTCAGGTGCTCTCTCTCCGATTTTCTCTCTGTTAGTCGTGCTGCCATCTCATGTCAGCAATCAGCAGTAGCGCCACTTTTCAACGAGGGATGGCGTGTCTGCGGTTTCGAGAGCGCAGAACCGGCCACACGAGCAGACGAAGCAAGATTCCATCAGCCGTGCGGGGTTTCGGCTACACTGCCTCGGCGTCCATCTCCTCGGAGTCTCCGTCATGTTGCCAAGCTTGTGGCAGCGACTTGTGGCAAACTGACTGCCATTCTGCATCTGCTCGCAGTAGGAGAGCTGCGCCGTCGTTGGACAACGGGTTCAGTTTGCGTCATCGGAAGACATTTGACAAGTCATCTCCAGATTCACTCGCTTCCTCCACTTTGGCAAGAGTATCCGCCTCCTGTCACCACACAAACACGACCCCTCGAGACTAGCCGATGCATCATCCGCCATTGCTCCAAGATAAACACCAAGATCTGCCGAAGCCTGTCCTCGATGCGCGCAGAGGGAGAGAATGCCACTGGCTTCGCGGTCATGACTTCATTCGTCGGCGAAGCCTCCTGCTGCATACTTCTTGACCACTGATCGAAGCCCTGACACAGATTACGCTCAAGGAAGGCCTCTTTCGGGGAATCTGGAAGCTGAAGAAGCGTCCCCGCAGAGCCTTCGGAACAATAGTCTGACATGGCGGAGGCATGCTGGCATGCCGCACGTCGTGAACGTAAGTCTCTTCGCACAAGATGTACTTGCATGCTTCCACGATGTCATTCTGAAATGGCCTGCAGTCAGCGCCAGCGCAGGTGCGGCCATTCCTGAGTTAGCTAATGCACGCTGGCGTTGGTTCCACATTCAGCCCCATAACCGATGGTCAAGGCTCCCATGAGCTGGCAGAAGGCCGCCTTCTCCGTCATGTCGATGCCTAGCAGTGGTTCCACATGTTCCACATACAGAACAGTACGAGACTGTTGCGTGCGGGTGTGTGACAAAAAGGACTACGGACGGGCCAGGCTGCGCTTTGCTTCCTCGGCGAGGTTGTCATCTGAGACCTTGGGCACCGAGCAGTGGGGAAGATGGCTCTTGACCTTGTCTGATTGCTGTTTGTGGCCTCGAGTCCAAGCTTGTGCCACTTCGTCAGGATCTCGTCCCGCAGCTTGTTGCATGCGCGGTGGCTTTCCTGCCGATTCACAGCATTGAAGCCCGCCATGCAGGACTGGACAGGAAGTACATGGGCATTGTGAGTTGGGCCAAGTCACGAAATACAAGCGTTGCATTGCAGCCTGCCCCGGGGTGCGGCATGTCCCTTTCACTGGTGCACTGAAGACGTGAGGCCCCTTGCTTCAATGGTGGCGGTGCGGCACTCTGACCCTTGATCTTCTTGTTGCTCTCCAAACCTCGGCAACCGCTCTCAGTGAAGTCGTGCAGTGTAGGGTATGTGGGCATGCGCAGTCGAGCAATGCAACCAACCACTTCAAGCAGCCTTCGAAGAAGAGGTGCTCAAAGAAGCCGTGCATAAGATTCGCACTGGTAAGGAACTTCTGCATGCAGGCCTTATTAGAACGATAAGTAGTTGCTGAGTACAGTACGTCTTGGCATCGTCAAGCTGCTATGAAATCAGAGAGGGAGAAAGTCAGAGAGAGAGAGAGAGAGCGAGAGCGAGAGAGCAGGAGAGCGAGAGAGAGGGGCAGGTGGCCAGATGGATGAAAGAGTGAAGTGCAAGGAGCAAGAGGTCAAGACCAAGCCACATCCAGCTGTCCGGTAATGGTGCTGCGCTGTCGCAGTGCATAAATAGCGGCCAGTGCCTCCTTACTGCCACCTGCGACACAGTGGGCTGCACAGATCCCAAATGATCCAAGGCCCTGGTGTGCGGAGAGCTATGCTTATAATGAATTCAATCTAACGCCTTCGCTGATCATGGAGCGCACTGCGGTCATCACCTCAGAGCACCCATATTCGAAGCAAGGTATGCAGTCAGCCATGGCAAGGCACGGTGGCCCGCCTGCTTGAAGCAGCACAAGAGATCTGACAGTGTTTTGGGAAGGTCCTGAAATGTCTGTGGCAGTGAGTCGGCTTGACTCTCGAACATGGCACGCTCTCTGCCAAGACTCAAGGATGATAGTGGGGAAGTTCGAGGACCTGGATTCCTTTTCGAACACACCGTCGATCCATTTGACCTAGGACGTCGCTGGCACCGAGAAAGCGTAACTCATGCAACTCAAACAGGGAACACATGGCGCCTTCTTGCAGCCACGAAATGGTTCCGCGATTCCTGCTTGATCGGCATTGCCTTGCATCCACGCATCCCGGACCTCCGACAGTAAACCAGTAAACAGGTCGTAGTGAGAAGGCTGCAGGGTAGCGTGCTTAACAGCTTTAAGCCCACCATGACCCACCGCCGCCTTCTCCACGGCTTCATACCTGAGCTTGAAAAATACTTCAAGAACTAACGGGAACAGCATGGATGTTCCCGTGAGGCATACTCAATGCTGCCAAGCCGCCAGAAGTCAGGCTTTTCTGCCTCTTCATCGGCTGCAGATTCACCGTCACCCAGAAAGTCCTCTATGGCTGTCACCTCCACACAGGTGAACCACTACGTGCTGGCGTGCAAACCTCGTCCGTGACCTGTTCCGGATGGAGCCCCGCGGACCGCGTAAAGTGCTCACGGCTTCCGCTACTGTGTCTGAGCATGCGTTGCAGTGCTGCAGCTTGATCTGAGTGTGCTTACGGGGCATTCTTAAACGAGCCTGTGTCGGCGGCGCCATTCCCAATGCTGCTTGCTGCAAGCCGATGTTCTGGTCTACCCTGCCTTGGATGGGTTAAGCTTCGGCAATGAGCTGGGCCTCCTGCAAAAGCCAAGCTGCGATTGAGCTCTCGCATTGTGCTGCCTTCCTGGAGGACCTGTCGAACGCGCCATCTCGGTGCGTTTGCCGTGTATGCGATGTGCCGGCCCTTGCGTGCGATTGCGCGTGCATGTGCGCTCTGTGCACAGGCACGTGTGTGTGTGTGTTCGGGTGCATCCCTAAGAGCTTTTGACTTCCGCGAAGCCTTGGAAAGCACTTGGCTGGTGCTGGAGGCGAAACTCTTCTCCTGGATCTTGCCCTCCGGACCCACGAGGATGGTACAGCAGCGGCACTGCTCCAGGACGAGCCGTGCCTCCTCGGGAGAGCTGTACTCGTATGTCTTGATGGTACCCAACTCGTCCGTCCAAAGACTCCAAGTCCGGGCAGCCACCTCAACTCCCACACCTACTGGCTTGAAGCGCTGTGGGTCGGCTCGGACCAAGGCAGAGTACAACACCTGGCCGAAATCCGTGCACCAGAAGCTGGTGCTGTGTCTCACCAATGCTTGGCTCAGCGATTTAAGAGTCAGCGCGCCCTCTTTGGCGACCAACGCCTCAAACTCGCTGTGATGCTCGGTGTTGGCGAGCAGCGTCACTCTCAGGGCATGCTCTGCAAGCTCACTGGTATGGTCGTGTATCTGCTCCAGAACTTTCAAGTACTTCTGTCTCTTGTCGGATGTGTCCCGTTTTAATGCCTCCAGCTTGCGGATGACATGGACAATGGTCTCCAGGAAGGCGTCGGAGCCCCAGAGCTTTGAAGACCATCGGTCATGGTAGTACATCACATGCCGTAGATAATTCAAGTATGGATCCACCTCCTGTGCATCTATGCCCTCATCACTGACCGCGCCCTGGCTGCAACAGGCCCAGGCTTTCCTCAGCCCACACTGCAGCGAAAGCACACAATCTCAGCACGAACACACGAAAGCCAACAGGCCCGGGTTTTTTATACTCTTTCTTCCTAGGTTCAGCAGCTCGCAGACAACTCTCTTCGCGTGGAAGTTGTCGCAGTTGTTGGCTTCCCCCGTGCTGAAGCTTGTCAGTCGCTTTAGGCGCCCTGGAGCCTGGTGATGGCCCTGCTGGGTCTGGTACGTGATCAGCCTCAGCCACCCGCGCATAAATTTTGTGGCAGGGACCATCCAGCACAGTAAGGCAGCAACTTTCGGAAGATGATGGACAGGGTCTCGGCACATCGCTGTGCTTTGCAGAACACTCGGAGTTGTGAACATTGCATGCTGTTGTGTGACAAGTTGCCGCACCGCTTGAGGATAGCAGCGGCGGCACCTCGATGCTGGTGTGAATATCCTGACACAAGCTTCTGGACTCTGCAGCCAGGGGCATGGCACAACAACAACTCAAACCATGGGCAAAAGGTGTTAGGAAACTGTGAAGACCTCTTTCACGATCTCATTAGCGCCGCTGCGAAAATCACGTGGCAGCCGCCTGAACAGATGGATCTGGATCTGCATATTGTGGGGCAAGCAGTTCATAGGAATGATGAACTGTACTGCCAGCGATGCGCTCTAGATCCCCAAGGAGGGGCCCCCTCTTCGGCCTGAGCACATCGTTGCGGCCCGCCGGGCCATCTGCCAGCAGGTGCTCATGGGCTAGGCGGCAGACGACTGCCAGGTCGGACTCGCGCTGCTCCATCAAAAAGCGGATCGCTGGCTACTGACCATTCTAAACGCCGGCGTGGTCAATCCTTGCTTTCTTCGCTGCGGTTTTCGGCATGACTCCCCAAATTGCAGTCACCTTTTGGGCGTCTCCAATGGAGTTACAAACTGCACAGCCAGCAGCAGTTTATTGTAAGAGTGAAGACTCCGTTTGGCCGGCTCTTTCGCAACAACGTATGCTGGCCTCGAGATACGCTGAACTTGCCGCTCTAGCTGCCGGTGTTGTCTGTTTGTTCTGGGCGGCTTAGACCTTGTCGCTCTCGCAGCAAGGGTCCCCAGACTTCGAGTCAAATGGATCAAGCTTGAGCAAATCGAAGCTGCGTGGCCACGAAGTGCGCATTCTTCGTGCAGAGAAACTTCGTCGCGTCAGTCCCGATTAAGGCACAGGCATGGGTGCAACTTGCACCTCTGAAGCAGTCATTTTCAGGACCTCAATGATATACCTGTCGCTTCGGTGCACTGTAGGATTCCATTGAAGGGCCACAAAGCAACCATCAGCCTCGAGGGATCGGTAAGCGACTCTGGGTACGTCCCTGGCGGATTGTGGCAACAGATTTGAAAAGGCAACACGATTCCGTTAACTCCATACAAAATGGGCTGAATCTGTACTGCCTCTTTCTCGGAAGTCCACATCCATAGTCTTGGCCTCGTGGTCATGACATGGAAAGGCAGCGAAACAGGTGTCGCTCGCAAACAGAAACTGCTTAGATTCATCAGAATAGTTTGTCTACTAGTGCATCGACCGCAGCAGCACCGTAACTGATTAGTTCTGAAAACAACTGTTTCGATCAAATAGTAGCAGCATGTAGCAGCTATCGATCTGCATAGCTGGCATGTTTGCTAATTCCGATGTGCTTGAAGCAGATACTACTTCTCTTTTGAAACCTTGAAAGCCCCGAATCCAAGCACGGCGCCCTTTGCCGTTGAGTCCGCAAGCACAGAGCTACCAACAATGTATTTCCCCAAATCACCAAAACTTGGAATGAGGTGTCAACAACTTCAGCTGGCTTCAAGAAAGGTTTGTCCAGCCGAGCTCGGCATGAGGTATCTTCGACTTCTCATCAAACCTGTTGTCTTCGCTCGTCGTTTCACGTCGCCATTCGTCGGACAATGCTCGCACATGAATTGCCATGTCGCATTCAGCTGGCTGGCTGCTTGAACATCTTCAGAAATGATTCTCATTATAGTACAATTATTGTACATCATAGTATACTCTAGTATATTCTAGTACATAATACTTCCAACTGACCAGGAGGAGGAGGCTGAGAGGTCCCTGCAAATGTCATGGATGCAGACGTAGAGGTGGCTCGATTGGGAGCTTCCGAAATTTCGGGGTACCTGATTTGGGGGATCCTTATAGTAAGGATCCTGTTATTTAGGGTACTATACTAGGGTCCCCTATTCTCGGAAACTCCCATCAGAACCGAGCATTAACTGCGCTGCTCCTGTAGCTCTGTGCGCACACACGGACACGGACGCACATACATCAATGTAGAGCAAGATACAGATGCAAACAGTCACGACGAAGACTGATCATGAATACGCGTTCACGCGCAGCAGGAAAACACGTCAAGCTCAGGTTCTCGCAATCTGGAGGCCAGCATACCTGGCCGAGGAAGGATAGATAGCTGGCAAAGCAAGCGACAAAATCCTCCTGATGGCCGATATCTCATCGCAAGCATGTCGGGTTCACACCGCAAAATACAACACCAGCAGGGAGTTGGAGCAGAAGATGCCAGACGAAAGTGGCAGAGAACCTCGCAAACTGCTGCAGAGAACCTTGACTCTAAAGAAAAGCGAGAGTGGGGCACCGTAGAGGTCCTGCAGCTGTGAGGGCTGCTGCCTCGACAGTCTCTGCAGTGGTTTCATGCAGGACTCGGGCACACTTGGGCATGCGGCATCTGGATGAGGCCCGCGATGACAACTGCCACTGCCAAGTACATGCACAGCCTCATAATTCACTTCCAAGCAGCTGAATGTACACGTCACGCGATTCCTGCAAGGGACACTCAGCCGGCCACATGGCAACATTGAAGATGTTGTTCCAGAAGGATGGAACCTTCATCGACAGCAAGTTTTGAACTCGCTACACTACGGAGCATCGGATTAAACGACGCTGAAGCTGAGATGAAGGCCCTCCGTATCGGACGGCCTGCCTGGGCCAAAAAAAAGTCAGACAGCGGTTTGCTCTGAAGCACGAGGTACCGGACCAGGCCTGCTTGTGAATGGCCCATTCGCGGCCTGTATACGAAACCTGCGCCGCTTTCCCACGGGCTCATGTGTGGAAATCTCGGTTGCGAAGTCCAGCCGGGACTACCATCTGTGCAGCAAACGCCATCACTGCCACGGCCATCGCAATTCGAACCTGAGCTCCAAATTTTGACGTTGTTCTGGTGCATGCCGAGTCTGGCAGTAAGCTGCAGTGAAGTGAGGATGGAGCATAGTCTGGCGGTAAACCATATGTGTACGGCCTCAATCAAACTCAGACTTGCTTTCAGATCGCACCACCAGCTTGGGAGCCCTGTCGGAATAGCGAATAAATTGAATAAGCAATGTGAATCTGATCTCGGCCGAGAACTCGCCAGCACCCAGCGTGTCGGCTCTCTTGTACACCTCATTCAAACCAGGCTTCTAGCTTTCCACTGCATACCTCCGACCGCAGCTACATGCCTGTCATCTGGTAGCAATTCTTCGACGGAAGTACGCCACTTCAACATCCTCCAGCCTGAAGCAGTCGCCTTCGGCAGACATGCCCCCAGCCGGCTGCATTGCGCATACGGCCAGATTGGCTGCTATCAGAAGCGCATGCCTACGGCATGAGCATCTGGCATAACCTAAAGATGTCAACCTTGTCCACATGAGAAGTACTCAAAGTTATCTTGCGATAGAACACGTCATTCGGCACAGCACTGTGCTTTGCTAGGGTGGGCAGCATTCCACGTTCTGCAATACGGCGTCACTGGACGCCGAACTCAGTACCTCAAGAACCGGGCAATGCAGATCGCTGGTCATGTGAAGATTGCAGCAGCCCTTCCACGTCAGTATTGCCATGTTTTGGCTGCTACATCCCTTAGCCCTGGTCGGGTCCGGGAAAGGCCGCTACTGCAAATTCTTGGAGTTTGATATGAAATTTGGGAACAGTACATGAGAACCTGTTTGAGCACTATCGGCATAAATGCACCGCTTCTCGTGGAAGTCCATCAGGTTAAAAGCCTGAACATGCGAAGAGTAAGATGCGGACCACGCTTAATCGTCGGTCATTCCTCTTCTTGTCTTCGCCCAATTGGCTAAATGTCACTGCAACCCGTTCCAACTCGTCCACGGCCAACGCTATGGTATGAAACGGTCCCTTTCACTGCTTCTGGGTTGACTAGGTGGAGTCGGAGGCAAGCTGCAGAGGCTTAGTTGAAGAGGGCTGCTGCTGCCTCCTTTGGCTTGTGACTATGTGCGGGCTAGGCACAGCAAGTCCACCAGTTTGCCTCAGTGTTTCCAGAGAGCATGCACGGACCAATTGCTTTACCCGCCACTGACACGGCAATGTTGATTGCTTCGGAAACACTCAGCGGAAGCGTTCCGTTCGTCCACGGCAGGCCCGCGATAAGCTTCTCGAGCTTGGCAGGGGTCCACCGGTCAGCATCTAGAAGTGACATCAACCTTTGACAAGGGGTGATCAGACAGCAGATGCTGATGTCTCCATGGTTTATGGCAACACCTTACACCTGGACCTGAGCGCTAGGGCTGTGAGCTCGCTTGAATATCCCGGTCGCGGGACCCGGCGCCTTTTCAACTTTCGTCAATATAACCTCTAGACTCTAGCTCCCCTTCCGCACGTGCGGGACAGACAAGATCTGCCAAGCAGCTGCTTGAGGCCACTGGGTGTAATGCTGTCCATCCCTTCCGGGGCACCCTGGACCATGGCATCCTGGCAGCGGTGCAGCTGCTCGTAGTGGGAGCACCCCTCTTTTCGTGAGCCCTCTGTGCGGTCCTTGACGACCTTGCGAGACGCCGTGGGGCTGGGCACCTCTTCCAGAATCGCAGCCTGGCTCCGGGCTTCTGCAGAGCTCGAGACACCCCCAACCACCGGCCTCGTGAGCCCTTCGGATGGCCGCCAGTCCTGCCGAAAGGGCCCCCCGTGGCACGTTCCCCAGAGCTGAGGATGCAATGAAAGGCACGTGCAGCGTGCCTTCTACGAACTCGCTGAAGGAAACCTGCGGCAATGATCGTGTATGCTTGAAGGAGTCTTTTCAACCCTACCCACGATCGGTAGCCGTTTTCTGCATCACAGGCACCGTCCCGGAGAAGTCCATGTCCAAAGCATCGAAGAGATCTTTGAGATCACTAGCCTCACTTCCAGAGTTCACAACGTGGCTCAAGCTCATGCGGCATCAGATTCGCAGGGACCGCAGCCTGCAGTCGCTGGTATTCTTCGGCAGGCAAGCCTGGCCGCAGACGTGAGTATGTGTCAGGTGAGGCTCCAAGCAAAGAGTCTCAGAAAAGCGCTGCCCCAGTTGTCCCTGGAATGGGCCTGTTGCATGGGAGACTTTCTGCAAAAAAGCGCTGTTGGTCTGGAAAGCGGAGATAAACCTGTCAGATCACACAATCCACGGAGTGTTGGCACGTGTGCGAAACGTCCACAGCCTCTGGAGCTCGAACTCCCCTGTCCAGTCCTAACTGTCACAGACGGCAGGCATTGCAACGACCTCATCCATGTGGAACCGACTCTTCCTCGAGCACTTCATCCATGGCAGCTGCCGCATCGCCCATCACCTGCGGTGGAAACTCGAAAGCAACTGCAAAGCCGACCATGTTTTTGGAGGTCGCGAGGCAACCGCCTCTTCCAGCAAACTGAAGTGGTACACATGCCAGTTGGATGGAGGCAGAGCTCTTGGTAAGCTCGTCACCGCTGCAATTGCAGTCTCCTGCTCCAGCTTCTCCGTCAAATAAACTTCCTACATGCAGGAGAGTGCTCATCATGTCTTGTCGAAGCATGGCGATCAAGGCCAGCTGCATGCCGAAAGGCCTGGCGGGTGTTTACCTCAACTGGCACTGTCGAAACATCACATCATGTGCAAAGCCGAGGTTTTACAACATGCGAAAGGACTCGAAGTGCAGTTCCTCGGACGCATCTGCACACACACACACACACAGGCATGATTCATGATGGCGCAAGCACTCTGAGTATACGTGCAGAAAGCCGCTACAAGTTCGCAAGCCTGCTACATTACAGTACAGAACAGTACAGTACAGTTCAGTGGTTCACAGTACACAACAGAGCACAACAAAAAGATCAGTACTGTGCGAATCAGCAAAGGACGCAATACGGTAAACACAACAGTTTACGATATGTACACGCAACCAGACATCCATGCATACGCGGAGACATGCTGAAAGACATGCATGCCAAACGTGCAACAGTCAGCATCCTGTGCTTGTGCACCCTTCCCTCTTCTCGGCATGTTGCAATCGCTGCCACCCACTCGTTGAAGGATATTCCACCGGAGCAATCAGTGTCCATGCGAGCGAACATGTCCTCGAGCACTGGCGCTTGTTCTGACATGCATGGAACAAGCCTGAACTCTGCTTCCAGGCCGCACGGATGTCTTGCTTCGAAAGTTTGGTGAAGAATTCCGGCGGCAGCTGGCTTGCCACTGCAACCTTCCTGAAAACTGAAGGGGCAACAGCAACAACGGATATGACGCGCTGACAGGCGGCGGCCAAACTGTTACCACCCTTCGCTTCCCGGACCCTCAGTTTAGAACGTATCAAACTGCTTTAAACGAGGCGCTCCAAAATCGCCGGCTGCTGGAGAGCCTTGTGGAAGCTGTCAAGGTCCAGCTCTCCTGCCGAGGACGACATAATTATAGTTCGGTTTACACATGGACGTATACAGTCATACACATACAGACACATATGATTGTGTGTGTGTGTGTTGTCTGTGTGCGTGCGTTGGTGTGTTCGTGTGTGGGCGTGTGAGTGCGTGGGCGTGTGTGTGTGTATATATATATATATATATATGGCTGTAGTATATGCATGTACATTTACAACTGCACATGCAGACATACATACATAATACATAGATACATATAGGGAGAGAGTACATGTACGTATATACACGTGTGTATATATCTATATAGACAAAAGACCTATTAACCTATTATGGCCTTATAGTGTATGACTGACTGACTGACGGACTGCCTGCGGGTGCGAACACCCTTGCACTTCCAAGGCAACCGAGGCTGCTCTTACCGAGACGAACTATCCATGTGCATCGACTGTATCGTATACACAATCTGTTGACACCTATCTACATAAGTCCGTCTATTTCTGTGCATAACTGCATCATGCAAACCTTCACAGAGACTCCCAGCATTGTCGCAGCAGCAAGCCCCGGCCTGTCACTCCAAGATCTGCCTCGCCAGTGGCACGTTTACGCTGCAGGGTTGTTTGAAATTTGGTCTAGAACCACATCTTCCAACAAATCAGTGTTAAAGGCCCTTGCCAACGACTGCAGCTGATGCTGCTCTGCTGTATCTGCTCTGCTGAGGCTCCTGCTAATGCTACTACTTACGACTACTACGACTACTACGACTACTACGACTACGACTACTACTTCTTCTCCAACTACTGCTCTGCTGCTGCTACTGCTGCTACTACTACTACTAGCACTCCTCCTGCTGCTGCTGCTGCTACTACGACTACTAGCACTCCTCCTGCTGCTGCTGCTGCTGCTGCTGCTACTACTACTACTACTACTACTACTCCTACTGCTGGCGCCACCGCTACTGCTACTGCGACTGCGACTCGACCACTCCTACTGCTGCTGCTACTGCCACTGCTACCGCTACTGCTGCTTGTGCTGCTACTGCTGCAGCTGCTGCTACACTACTGCTTCTGCTTCACCACAGATACTGCTGTCATCATGCTGCGTGCTGCTTCTGGTGCTGCCGGCGCTGCTGGTGCTGCTGAGCCTGATACTGAGTAACGCCTATCCTGCCACTGCTGCTGCTACTGCAGTAGTTAGACAGTTAGAACTCAATCCCACTGCCTGCCTGGCTGAAAGCATCCAGAGCATCCTTGGAGGAAGGAGTCACACAGGAGGCTTGCAGTGTGGGGAAACAGCTCTGCAGGAAAGCAAAGGCTGCCAACTCGGTCAAGTATCCAGATAGGCCACATCGATAACTGCCTGGTTCTCGGCTTCTGCCTCAGTGCCATGAACCACCCCTTTTTGATGTCAGATAGATGCTGGTTGATTCCCAGGCCTGCTCCCTGGCGTAGGCATGCCGCTTTAAGCGGATATCAAGCAAGCCGTTAACAAACTCGTCAAAAGAGATGGTGCCAGAGCGGTCCTTGGAATATCTGCAGCAAGACCAAGGTACATCAATGCAACGGTAAACCCCAAGGCAAGTGTAAACGAGTCCTTTGCAGATCGCAACGAAACGAAGACGCGGTTCTCTGGATGCAAAGCGACACCCAAGATATCTTCGAATCTTCTTGCTGATCGGGCCACCGTGTCTAAGACAGCAAAGAACTGCTCCAGATCCTTGCTGGGCTACTCGGAGTGTTTCGCGTGTGTGCTACACTGCTACAAAGGGCTCCTCGTTGGCAAGGGCGCTGAGATCTTCGACAGTGGTATCTGCTGCAAGCGCGACCTTCCTCACAAAGCGTGGATTGCAGCGGAAGGCAGCCTCAGAGCAGACGCAAAGTTCGATCGTGTTTCGATGTCGGTGTCGGTCCAAGCCGCGATGAACTCGCGGAAGTCCAACTCGCCAGACCTAATATCAGTGCCAGAGCGCTAAGCATCGCCACTGCCAATGTTTTGAGCAGCTGACCAATCTTCATCTCCTTCTTCCAAGGCTTCTTCAACTAAGCTTTCGATGGCGGCCATCTCCTGTCAGGCTGGAGTCTATCCGCTCAGGCCGCCAAGCTTCTCTGAGCTTCAGGTCGATTGTCGAACAAACCCGTCTCCTGCTGTCGCTCCGCCTTGAGATCCTGTCAAACTGTCAGGTTCACGCGGGTGGTACACTGACTGCTGTGCTCATCACCATGGCGACACACTGCCTCGTGGTTCGCCTGGCGAACTCGAAGGAGAGCGAGAATCCACTCGTGGAAGGACACCTGTGCGGCTCACAGTCTCTGCTTTGAAGATCTTTGAAGCAGACTATTGGTCGAAGCGCAGGACCCTGAATGCTGGCAGGCTGCCTTGCCGTTGGCATCGGCATCGATGTCCTGGAAAAGCTCAACCATCCTTAGCATGAACGTTTGACACACCTGCACATGCGCAAGACCTACCCTGACAAACGCTGGATCAAGGAAACCGTTGTGCTCAATGCGGAGCATGGCTCTGACCGACGTCTAAGGACAAGAACCATTCCGTGGGCACAGACGTTGCCTGAGACACCTCGGATTTGAGACAAAGGTTCGCACTCATGGAGCTGACAGCAGCTAACTGGATTCGTCATGTACTGAAGACCTGAAGACAGGCTGCCTTTTCTGCAACCTTGGTATTGCCCAGGGCCTGCAGCAAGGGAACTTATCCCTCAAGTATTTGCCTCTGCCAAAAGGCCAAAAGCAGCATGCGCGTGGCCAACCTGCATGAAGGACTGCAGATCCAACTCCCCGCGCAGGTCGAAATCTGCCGTCTCGAAGGCTTCCTTATATCGGTCAGGTACAGGTACGACACGGTTCGGGGTCTGCACACGTGTGACTGACGACATCAGAAGGAATATAAAATGACAAGCGCATCGTCATGTCTGCTTTCAACAAGGATCTGCTGCAATCGAGAGGGCCTCGTCCAACCTCTGGTCAACCATCGTGAGTCAATGTGTTCCATTGCGGAGCAAACAAAACACGCATGGCACGGTAGCTGAAGCCAGACATAGCCAAGCCGCATCGCTGCTTCTTGCTGCTGCCGCTCTTGGTCCACGCGGGCCTTGCGGATCAAACCTCCGAAGGCCGTGAAAGGATTTTCCAATCATCGGCGACTGCAATGAGCTGCGGCGACTGCGGCTGCTCCAAGGCCCTTGCGAATCTGCGCGAGACCTTGGCGCATGCACGTCCCAAGGCCAAGGCCAAAGCCGTTTTTCGACAGAGGATAGGCATGCAATGAGCTTTTTCGTCCGGCATGTCTTCAGATAGGCTGGCAACGCCTTTCGCAGATTTGGATGGTCGCGGCCCCTGTGAGCATCGTCGAGTATGGTCCCACGTGCGACGTCCTTCTGCCAGTGCGCCGGGGCACGCTTCCGAGCTTTGTGTTCGTGCGAGAGGCGAGGCCACGATCATCTGCTCGATGCAGCTTCCGGATGTTGAGATGCTCCGAATTTTAGAAGCGGTACCTAGGTGGCGCCAAGTAGCTGTCATGTGCTACAGTATACTATAGACTAGACTATAGTAACTATAGTGATGCTCAATCAACCTCTTAGCAAGCGGCGCCAACGAGCGGTCTTGTGGAGCCACGATCAAGTCTCTGCCTTGCTGAGCACCCCGATGTACGGCTTCTATCACTGTCAGCAGCTCCTTCCAGGGCCAGGGGAGCAAAGGAACGCTGACAAAGGCAGAACTGAGCGCAGGGATCAACCGCGAGCCGTGATCATGCTCCTTCTCGCCCCCAATTGGTCCAGTGATTTTGTACCTCTCCTTATGTCATCACGTCGACACGTCATTGAGATGTTCGGGCGTCCTGCAGTCATGGAGGGCTTACTTTCAGTGTCCAAGCCACTCCCAGCCCCAGCTCGAGTTGCAAATGCCGTCCTGGAAAGTGGGATGGCTGATGATAGCTGCTTCAGTCAGCAACTCACGGGAGAGGTTCGCATCACCGCGCGTCCTTTGTAAAAGAACATCAGGGTGCAGGGGTCGTATAGCTCCTTGACTTCAGGCGATGGCTACGTCTGCTACCAGGCAGGTATCACGCGGATGCGCCTGCTGCCTCCGAGCGACATACTGCTGTGTGAAATCTGGAACCAAGTCGGTGTCCACAAGGAAGAAGCCACACATCTCCTGCAAGTACACCTTATAGCCGGACCAGGTACCACTACCCAGAGAGAGTAGACATTTTGGGGGCAGCAGTCCTTCACAGTGTCTGAGAGTGCCAGCAGAACGTCGTCCGTAAGCTTGCACTCTGGGTCATAATCATGACCGAAACGAAGAAGAACCACCTCGTCATCGGAGTCTGCGAACACTATTCTGGCTGCATCTTGCAGTCTTGCAGTCATGCCATCGTCTACAGTAGGTTCTGTCAAAGCCACACGCGACTCCTCCTCCGTTACCGCCTTCTCCACTTGCCACGCGGTCCGCAGGTGTGGCAAGCCATGAGCCATGGCGAGCTCAAAGCCTCCCTGAAAAATCAAGCGTTCAAGCTTGGGCATTACTATCTCACCTTTTCGTCATATTGGCAACATTTTTAATGTTCGCATTTTCATTATGATAAGTAGTAACCTCGTAGTCATGAACGATTCTTCCCTGTGCTGAGTTTTGCTGGCTCAGTCCGGAGTGCCTGCGTCATGCATCCACTCTTGCCGTGCATCCTACGATCCCAATGCTGCACAGACTGCTCCCTTGGGAGGCGGCCCTTGACAAACTCGGCGAAGGAAACTGTTCCTCGACAAGCAGAGATGCATGTTCGGGTCTCCAGATGGCCGCGAATTGCAGGCGCGTGGCCAGAAAAATCGGTGTCCAAAGCCAAGAAGAGATCCTCGATGGACTCGTCCTGCATAGATCCCAACCTCGTGGTCAACGAAATCCATCTATCACCGTCGTCATCAACATGGAAAAACGAGACTGAAGACTGAATTTGTGGAGAGCAGAAGAAGCAGAAGCAGAAGCAGAAGAAGAGAACAAGAATAGAAGGAGAAAGACAACAACAATCAACATTGACAGCCCTCAAAGATGCATTGCCACCACTGACTTTGCGACCACGAGTGACCATTGCTAGCACCGCCACAGGAGCAGACATGGCCCCCGGGGCCCCGAGCTCTTCCACGGAAATGCCCGTCGCCAACGAGACCTGCGCAAATCCGAATCGGACGAGGCAGCGGCCGGGGTGCAAGTGGAAAAGGCAGGGTTTTGCTTAATTTAGTTGCGACGGTTTCGGGACCTCGGACACCGTCCGTAACCCTGGCCCTGGACGCACCAGATCGTCAACGCGCAAAATAATGCAGCTGGAAGTTGAGAGTGAGGAGAGTGGGGGCAAGGAGTGATGTGGCCTTTCGCAGGAAAGTCGGATTATACTTGAAGGCGACAATGAACCTGAGCTGAGGAAGCAAGTCATTCCGCACTTTCGAACATGTAAGCGAATCCGAGCAACTCCCGGAAGTCGAACTCACCGGACCAATCCTGAGGCGGAACCACAAGACATGCTGGCACGAAAGGCTGAAACTCTCCTCCTTGACAAATCTTCATATCAGAGTTTCGATTCCGGACGAGAGAGAATATCAGACACAGACAGAGCCCACACATCCCGCACAAGAGAGCGAGTCGAAGTGCGCTTATCTCCTTCTCAGCATGAGTCACGCGAGAAAAAAAGAAAGGCTTCCAACCGTCCATGGAGCCTCGTCGCCTTCATTTAATGCTGCCTGCACAGCAGCTAGACTTGCTAAAGCAGTGCCAGGAACATCTCTAGTGATTCCCCCTGTCGACTGGCCTCTGCATGCGTTCTGACTGCATCCATGGCCGCGTCCATCTCTGCCTTTCGCTCATCGTAGAGAGTCATTCCTCACGCTTCATCACGCTGCGATCTGTCTGCGAAATGTCTGAACACATCATCTCGGAAAATCAACCCTTCTGAATAACCGTCCCAGGCGCGTATCCGCGCGAGCGCTTCAATCCACTCTTCCAGTGAAATCGTGCCAGAGCAGTCAAGGTCCTGAATGCACCACAACCTTTCCACTGTTTCTAAAGGCTCCGGTCGTCTACGATGCCACACGGACGCCGCGCGGACAGACGAGTGTCCACTTCTTTGAAAAGGTCCAGCAGCTGACGCACCTCCGAGAGAAGGGGGTTGATCTCTCCATCTCTCGAAACGTTAGGACCGGAGTGTCGCCCTAAACCCAATATCAATATCCACTCCCGAGCTCGGCGAGTGGTTACTACTAGTTGGGCCGAGGCACGGAAAGACTTTCAAAAAAAGAGGTCGGCAGCCTGAGTTTCGAGCATCTGCACAGAAAGCTGGGAGTTCTGACAGGGAAGGAACCACTGTAACCGCAGCCTGAGAGCCCCGTTGCTGTTGCGATCTTATCCACGAGTGTCGCATCAGACAGGGCCACGAGAAAAGCCTGAGGCAATCTTGGCAAGGGTGCACGATTTGTGCACAGGCTTGCTTTCGACGAACCCCCCAGAAGCCTGCCTGCAAATCCAATTCGCTTCCTTGTCCTCCACCAGCAGCGAGAAAAGCTTCTTTGGCCTCTTGGACAGAGGCGTCCAGCACTGCCTGCTCTTCGGCAACTTCAGCCTGACCAAGTTTCAGAGGAAGCCCTGGAACCTCACTTACCATTTTGGCAGCCTGCTCAGTGGCACTTCGGTTGAACTGTCGCATCTTCGAGAGGCCTACACGGATGCAGCAAGTTGTACCCGCTCTGCCGACACCACTTCAACTCCGCCCATGCCTTGCACGAAGTTCTCGAAGCTGAGGTTTCCGGACCCCTCCGAGTCCCACTGTGCCTCGGTAGAGCAACCTAGGAAAATACTCTGCAGAACCTGGCAGCAAGGAGTCCCACATCCCACATCCGCCGCGTTCAAAACTTGTACATGGTAGTGCATCTGAGACACGAAGGTCGACAGTAGCTCCTGACTCACAAAAGATGAGCAGGATGCAAATGGCTGCAACATGAAAGGGTCCTCTTGGGGAATCGATTTCAGTAGGTGTTCCTCGAAGCCCGTGACCAATGCGATTTTCCGAACCTCAATGACAGGCACGTTCCTGACGAGTAGGTCGAAGACATTACAATGAAGACTTGCACAAAGCTGAGCGTGATTCCAGCACCGGGTTCGTCTTGAAGGCTTCCACAAATGCTGCCACTGGCAGATTCATACCTAGTCACTGCAGCGGTGCAGCGGCCTCCCACTGGCCCCTGGCCGACCTGGCGCCCCAAAGGCCCTTTGCCTTCGAGACCCTCGAAGCTGTCGGAAACGGCCTTCAGATCCGACTCCGTCATGGCCCTGGACAGGGCGAAGCTACGTTCCGGCTTGGCATGTCACGATGCACACCGAGGTCGTGGCAGTGTCAAACCCACACAAGCACGGACCGCACAAAGAACTATTTATTGCTTCAACTTCTGCATGTGGGGTTGGGAAACTTGGCTGCAGCTGCAATGTGCATGGTTGACTGGCACTGGATTGGATCTTCATCCACCTCGTCTTGCGAAGGAAAGACGGATGTGGTTGCATTGTTGTATGCTGAAAGATCCATTGGCATAAGGTGAAACTTTAGGGAAAGCTGAAGCCAAGCACAAGCGCAAGCATCGCATGGGATTATCAGAACGGCGGTGAAACCCCAGCTCTCCCTGAGGTCCCACGCCGACAGGAACAGTACGCACAACATTGGTGCGAAGCAGACGCCCATAACGGCAGACTGGCATGCGATGCACGCAGCATGTAGGGCCCACGGCTTGCGGCTTGACCATACTGGCACAGCACCCCCTGGCCTCCAATGCTTTTTCCACCGGCCCGGGCCCGGCATCTTGTGCCTGCCAAGTGGCAGCCAGCTAGCCAGGTCTGATGTACTTCAATGCGTAAAACAGCCAGCCAATATTGTAGGCTCCAGCGGACACAATGACTGAAATACGCTCTACATACCTATCTACCTATCTATATGTACATATAGATTTATTGACATGTGTGTAGATGCATACATACATGCATGTGTACACATACGCATTGACCGTCCGCCTGTGTATATACGCATGCACAATGTACTGTACGCAGACATGCACGTATGTATGTCTTGTGGGTTGTATGTATTGTTTGTGGCGCTTAAGTTGCATGTACGGTATGTAGTGTGCGAAGTGTACATACTGTATGTTGTGTACAATGTATGCAGTGTAAGCATGTATGTACTGCATGTAATGCACGCATGCAGTGCATGTGATGTATGATGTGCATGCAGAGTATATGATGTACGTGAGCATGTACGTAATGTATGCAGTGGCTTGCAAAGATCAACAATGCATGCAACATACACACAGTATGCAAAGCGCACGGTATGCATGTATTTTGTGTATGTGCACAGGTATTTACTTAACTTATGCATGTACTTCTGTGTGCATGAGCTTGTAAGCTTTTAAGTTTGTGTGCATGCATGCATGCATGCGTGCATGCAGGGAGGGAGGGAGGCAGGGAGGGATGTGTGCTTCCGTGTATGCGGATTCATTACAAAACATCTACTTGCCGCCTTGTCTATGTGCCTAAAATTAAAGTCATATTTGAGCTGGTATGCAATCATACCCGGCTATACATGTCTCTTCGCTCGCTCCTTCAGGTGCTATTGTGAAAAGCCGGCGCATGACCCACGAACAACACAACCGTATCATAAGCACATTGGAAATGAAACATAAAACTGAAAACCTGACAAATTGGCCAGACGTGTCGTTGACGTTCAATTAGTCAATAGCCGTGAGCAACAACATTTCGTAACAGCAGATGCTGCATCACAATATGCACCGACATGTGCGGACACACGCAGCATTTTCGAGATGTACAACACTGCATACTGCTGCTGGTCAGAACATATAGCGTGATATGCTATATCGTAGGACACTGTGATGAAATTCATCGCTAGCCCTTTTGGCTCTGTCGTATAGAAAATCATATGCTCATCGTTCACCATCTCATTGGCTGCCACACAATACCATGCAGGTCATCTCATTCAAGTTCGCTTGGTATCTTACCATATCTGAGATATATAAGTGTGCCACTTAACGGTACCATCCCATGACCTCAAGACTGCCGTGCCAACCTGGTTGAAGGCGTGGATGATAGCCAGGACGGCCTGACTTTGACGACTGTGCCGGTCCACGATTCAACGAAGGTGCGTGCAGGACTATGCAAATTCAGCGCGGGCTCCCGTGTCTCTTCTTATGCTGGCCTAGAGGGCCCCATGCCACCCCCATGCACACTCCCTGGTAGGTGAAGGCTCGAGCAGTCCAGCCGAACGCGCAAGAAGGAAAGCCTAGGCCTAGGCCCCCTTCAACCAACTGTCCGAGCAGCCCAAACCGCCTTGGACGCCTGTGAGAAGGCCATGCCCCCCGGCTTGATTCCCCTTGATCCCCTTGCCGAAACTCAAACCGTGCTTCGTCCCCGGTTTTCGACGAGCAGACAGCCTGTTACATGGGGTGGTCCCCCAAGCTCTCATTCGCTCACCATCAGAGCCCTCTAGAGCCTTCCACTGCGAGGGCAGAGGTCTGCACAACTTTTCATGATGCCCGGTACAAGAACGATGCGTACATCTCTCTCAGGCTTCAAGCACGCTTCTGATGTGCACGTCCCTGCATCTAATCTAGAGAGTGAAGGAAGGCGAGCGAGGAAGGGAGGGAGGGAAGGAAGGAGAGCAAGAGCAGAAACTTTTTCTTGATTGCTTGTCATATGAGGCTTCATGCATACGCACACGCGCACACGACATGAATACCGCACGCCGATGAACATTCAGAAGAGCAAAGCAACAATGTCTCAGGTTGCGGCATATGCTGCAAAGTACAACACTGTCACGCAGGACACTGCCCACCTGTAGTCCAAGACTGCCATGTCCCAGTGTAAGCTGTGCTCACTTTCAACTTTCTGATCTCAGCTGCAAGCAAAGCTGGCCGCATGTGCCCCAGCTGGGCCGGCAAGCTCTGAGGTGGATCGCCGGCCATGAGCACCACCTTCAAGACCCCCACACCAGCACCTGCTGGCAGCTGTCATCCTCCGCGCCTGTCGAACTTGCCGAGAGTGTATGGCTTCTGCACCTGAAAGAATGTGGGTTTTCAACAAGAAAGCCTGCACCGCTACATTTCCTTCACTGCATGAAGTCCTTGTTGAATTTGTGCGGACCCACTTGGAACACACAGCAGATTCAAACATGATCTTGGCATCACGAAATTCTCAACTTGCTCAACGCATGCTGTATGCATTACCATACTTCCATGAGCGAAGGATAGTCTGAGTCTGGACTTTTCTGGGCCTCTTTGGAGAAGCGAGGTCGGGTCATCACCTGCGCATGTCACGGGCAGAACGCCGGGAGCCTTGGGTCCCCCCCCCCCCCACTGCGCAGCTCCGCCTTCGGCGAGGCTCTGGGTCAGGTCGGCGCGCGCGGCCCCCAGCAGGATGCCCAGGCCCAGGACCTCATTGGCTCGCGTCTCTTAGCAGCCTTATCACCTTAGCAGTATGTCCGCCATCAGTGCAGGTGCTCAGGGCCCTCGCGGCGCAGAGGCATCGCATCGAAGCGAGGTCAATCTCGATGCGAAGATCCTCAGTGGAAGGATCCAGGAGCCAGGTGGACCGCATCAAACAGCGAAGTGCAGACCGGGAGCTGGAAATACAGAAGTGTTCGATCGGCGAAAGGACAAGGGCAAGCCTATCAAGCCATACCCCTGGCTGCAGAAGTCACGTTTAGGCATGCTGCATTCCCCGACACGTACTCCATGCCACATGACATCTCAGACAGTGAGGTTGCAGCTTGCTGCATGCAGTACAACTTTGATGGCTTGCTAACGACTTCTGTTAGGCATTTGCTACGCATTCTTCTGCAGCAACGTTGACTGCAGCGTGTGGACGAGGCGAGAAAGTGGCAGTAGCACCCGCTCTGTCCGTGTTCAAGCTCCTGCATTAAAGCTCTGAGCAGAAATCAAGCCAGCATAGCCGACTTTGTATATTACAGCTGCGCAGTGCGCATTGGCTCTAGTTCGCCCTCACGGTGGGAAGACATGCACTGCCGGCAAGACTGTCCTCCGCAACAGGCTGCTCCACTCTCTGCATGGAACTATGCATGTCAACAGTCCTGCGGCCGTTGCGGCAAGGGCGATGGTGCTCTGTCCACCTCGCATGAGGACCTGTGCGTGGTGCTCGGACGGAATGTTGGCATGCGGTTGCAGTCGCACAGCTGGGCCTCAGGTATCCTCCAAGCAAGCTCGTACCTCTGGAGTGGCTTGAACCGATGCAGCCCTGCTACAGTATGCGTCTTCGAAGACTCTCAGTTGCGCACCCTGATCCACAGGTCGCCTGTTTGCGCAGGCAGTGAAACAAAAGGGCTGAGACCCGGTTTGCCGGCACGGCGCCTGGAAGGTCTGACCTCTCCGACCTTGCCAGATGCTGGACCTCAGAGATCGGAGGGGTTGGACGACCGTCCTCACATGTCCTCACGTTGCCTCGCAGAGTTCCTCCGACGAGATTGTCCTTGGAAAAACTGGACTCACAAGCGACAGAGCTCTCTTCAGGTTGCCTCTTCTGCAAAAGGCCCCGCCTGGACCCCGACTCGTCGTTTGCGTGGCGTCTGCGACCTGCACGGCTGGGCGATGTTGGGCGACAGCCCTCACAGCGATGCATTTTCTCCTCCATGTCGCCTTGGCCCGAAGCAGACTAAGGCCGTTGAGGATGCTGCCTGCACAGTAACTGGCTGTATAGCTCTGCAGGCCTTTCAAGCTAGCGCTTTTCTGGCGAGCCTCTGGAGCACCAGAGCCAAGCCTGATGGTGTGCGGATGAGTAAGGGCTCTCAGCAGCCGAGCTCCTAAGTCCTAAGTGCCGAACGCAGTCGCTGCGTTGACGTCCAGGTAAGTTGGAGATGTGGAGCTGCAGCGGATCCCCTGCCACCAAGCAACAGCAAGCCACAAGACCACCGTGGCGGCACATCGTGCCAGCCTGTGGTTTGGAGTCGGGGAATTGGCCAGGAACCGCGCCGCTCCATCGCAGATGGTCCTGAAGGCTGCAGAAATGCTTCCCCCGACATGTGCCCAGAACCTAAACTAAACATGCGATCCCTTCAAGCCCCCCAGCAGCCCGGAAGGTTCTCCCGCTGCTTGCTGGGACAAAGCAAATATTGCTCCATGTCCGGAGAGCTTGCCGCACACAATCGTCGCCCATCAGCTCGCGGATTCGGGTCGTGGAGTGTTACAATAAGCTTTCCAGATCAAGTTTTCGTTCGGCTCTCGTACAGGAGTTCACGGCCGGTGCTTTTCAAGTCGAAGACGTGCACCTTGTTAACTTCCAGCTTACAGGTGAAAACCATGCAAGAATGAAGCGCTGCCACCCACTCCCCAGCAAGTCCCAAGTCTGCCCCTTCTGCGTCGGTGTAGGCTTCAGGGTCCGGGTTCTAGCTAAGAGTCGCGTGCATGCAAGCCTCCAGGGAGAGGCTAGTTCAGAAAAGATAGATCTTGTTCTGTTCACCCTGAGGGACTAATCGTCACCATCACCGTCATAACAACAATCACTGCAGTAGCCATCTTCGTGAACCCCCACCAGCACTCTAAGGCGACTCTAAGGTGTCTCTGTTCACTGGCCACAGTAATTCACGGAGGACGGCGCGCCTGAGGCTGGATGTAGCGCCGCTGCGTCCGGCTGTCAGGCCTCCGAAACACCGAAACATCGCCTCCGTGGCTTGCAGCAAGGAAGTCTAAGGAAGCTCTTGGAGAAACCTAAACTCCAAACCCTAAAGCCCACTTTAACCACACACACACCCCCCGCAAGCCCGGCTCCAGACACGCCTCGGGGCTCGCAGTTGGCCTGCGCAGTATGCGCCGGGTGTTCGATGGCCAGGGCCAGGCGCTTGGCAGACGCTTGAAACCCGCGGGGGGGGAGCCTTCGAAAGCCTGGCGGCAGCGCCGGCTCTCTCGTCCTTTGACCTGGCAGCAGGCCGGTTCTAAGGTTTTAGGTTGTGTTAGGTTTCTTTTCGTGGGGTCGGTATACTCCAACCCCAAACCCACCAACCAAGCTTTCAAATAATCGATGCGAAGACTGCGAGGCAAGATTGAACTAGTAGCATCATAGTCTCTTTAAGTTGGCATCCTGACGTAAACCTCTGATCACTGCATTGTGAAAAGACGTCTCGGTAGAACCGCCCAGTAGCAGCCCGTCCTGCAATGCAGCATCCAGATGGCTTGAGGGCCCGGGCCTCGACGCTGAAATCTTTCAAGCACAGAAAAAGCGCATTAGTACTTGAAGCTTTGGTATACGCACCCTGCACCACGGGGGGCCGACACACACACACACACACAGACAAACAAACAAACAAACAAACAAACGTGGCTGGTTGACTTGATGCTGCTTGAGAACTTTCCGCAATACGCCTATGCTAGGCGTTGAACACGTGTCGACGTCCCTCTTTGGAGTCTGCAACCTGGTCATGACGAGTGCCGCCAGGAAATGTCAATCGGACGACGATGAACGACAGCACACAACTCCCCGACCCGGAGCCTCTTCATCGTACTGCTTGTGCTTCACAGCGTCAAAACGCCTCCCAGTGTTTCCATTTAGAGCATCGAGTTGCAAGCCCGGCGGGCAGAACTACGATATTCCACGTCCCACCTCACACCACAGCTTGCCCCATCACTCTGCTCCGCAGATGGCGGAGGACAGTGCCTGTCAGGAAACTTGATGTGAGAGCACTTTATATAGAGGAGTCTCACGCTGAGCTCACGACTTCTTTGAGTAGATCTCTAGACAGTCTGCGGTGCCACCCTTTGAGGCCTGACATTGACACGGTGCTCATACTTTGGGCTCGCGAAACCAGCACAACAGCTTCACGCAGAATATTGCACAATCAAAGCTTCATGACCTGGCATCTGACAGCCCTGAAAGCATGGAAGGTTTTAGGTGACACGAGCCGGTGGCCCTGCTCAAGGCCTCCTGCGCCGGAGGGAAGTGACGTCTTGACTGGACCTTCTCCGCGTCGACCAGAGCTGTAGGCACCTCATCGCAGCCAGAGGACTTGCAGATGACTCCTGCACTGCTCTTCGGCCCATGGCCTCCGTGGAATCTGCCGTGCGAGGATCCGGGCCAAAGATAAAGTGCCTCGGCAGTCGATGCCAACCCTCCCCCCCCCCCCACGTTGCAGACTGCACGCCTTTGAGGCGGCTTGGTCTCTTCTTGCGTTCCTGGATCCTCCTGGCAAAAACCTACGGCAACTGCAGTCGGAGGGCCGCCGGCCCATCCTGGAGCTTCTCGTAGTTCCGTAGTTCGTGAACAACGAGTGAGGCTCGTCAATAACGATACGAAAACGTCAGCTCTCCATCTCTGCTAGAATTTCGTCGGTGCTGCGGCTAGGGCTGTTGTCATGGGCCTTCGTTGTGATACGGCACGGCCAGTTCTCAATCAGCTTTGAGCCACAAAAGCAGAAGGCCAGCAGGAATTCGTCGTTCTCGACGTGCTAGGTCCGAGCAGCTGCGTGAAATGATGTCAGCATCGCACTGTTAAAGCCAGGTGCAAGCAGCTTTTCCTGCTCTGTTCTTTCCGCGTCCGCAGGATTGCTTTGCTTCAGCGTGAGGTCCATGAGTCGATTCGCTTTCCACTACACGACCCTTGTATGCTTATGACCTGACAGGTGTAGAACCATCGCAGCACAGATATCCTCACGGCGTGTCGGTTCCGACTTCAAGCTCTCAGAATCGCATATTGAGGCGCTGCTCCATGATGTCATGAAGCCCCCTGCAAGCGCACTTTAGTGCATGTGCCGGCCCCGCAATTCAACAAAGCCCGTCTCACTTGCTGACTCCTAGTGATTTCACGACAGTCGCCCATCAAACCCAAGGCACCTGTTCGGACCTGTGAAGCGCGACAGTGCTGAGTTGGCCTCCAATGGAAATTTCATAGGTGACACGTTGCTACGATCATGCTATGCCATCACATCACAGCCTCTAGGTTCATGATGTCCTCGAATTCGATTGTGTCTTCCATGTCCATGACAGTCTCCAGTCCCACCTCGGAGTGGTGCTTGATGCGAGCATGTGTGAATCTCCGAAGGTCAGTCAAACTTGCTTTGTGCATCTGCGCTTTGCATCTGCGGGAAACCAGGTAAAGAGACCATTGCCTGGGGCGCACACCAAAGAGGAGGGTAAGCCAGGCAAGCGCTGGAACTGTGACAGCAGCTCGCGCTCCTGTCGAGCCCGGCAAGAGTGGGAAGGTCTCCGGCGGGATAGACTGTGCTGTATTTCTGTCTGACTGCGAAAACATGCTGGTCAGACCATCTTGGCTTTCAGTGGAGCATGTTGGCCGAATACCTGTGAGAGAGATCGTGTGCCACAGCCATGATGACGAATAGCTGTGCATCTCCAATAGCCGGTGAGTTGGGAATATTTTCTGCTCCAGCCGTGAACTGGCGGGTCATTAAATCATCAAGTCCATCCGCTGGAGAGATCACAGGCTTCACGGAGATCGCAGACGAGAGAGTCGACTTCCGCCTGCTTGGTTCGCAGGGTATCAGCGATACCCTGCACCAACGAATCGGTGAACTCTCGGACCTCCTGCGCAGCAGACTCCTCAATCGACCATGCTTCGTCAGTGGAGGCCACTTTGCGTGAGGTGTCTCCTGGGCTCCATTGCGACTGAGACACAGAACACGACTGCGAGGCTTCCAGTTCAGCCCTCATTCGTTTCGGGCTTGGCATGCCGCCGAAAACAGCAACAACCTCAAGCCTACCATTCGAATGATAAGCCAGCTGCATAAACTGAGACGTGGCTCTTGTGTGGTGTTTCACCTACCGAGTCTGCGACTGTACGAGCAAGCTGGAGCTCTCGGATAGTCCAGGATGTCGTTATTGGGCGGAATATGTGCTTAATAATGATTCATTGACTGAGTTGATGACAGCTCAGAGCAGTAATCATGTGGGTGGTCGCTTCGTGTCCAGCATGATGTGTCGATTGGCAGTTTGTCGCAGTTTGCCCCGCTTCTTCAGGAATTGACATTGGTAGAAATCTACAGTAAGCGTCCAGGTTCAACTAACAAGTGTTCTGGCGCCAAAAAGTCACCAAGCCACAGCCCTGAGTCATCTGAATTGTCTCAATCTCCATATGGGGTCAGAAGTGTCACATTAGATCGTCTTCCGACACCTCTACTGCCGCTCTGACATGACGATACCATACCCTACCACTCTCTCTGCGTCAAGACGCCCAGAGGCAACGAGGCCAAGCCATCCTTGACTGTAACATAAAGGTTCAGTCGCTGGACTTCGTCCATGACCGTCTGGCCGTCAGCGACCGCATCCAACATGGCCTGAAGGCGACCCAGCTCTGCAAGCTGTGCCTCGTAGTCCTGGGCCTTCGCCAGCATGGTCGCGTCCAGGAGGCGGCCGCAATCGTCAGCTCCACCCACAAGCTCCTCCTCTTTGTTCTTCAAAGAAGAGAATAAGGATTCGAAGCTATTAACGACGTCAAGCTTCATCTTGCTGAAGGCATCCTCCAATGGAAGCAGCTCTGACCGGCTCCGTTTTGGACTTGCCTGAAGGCGAGCTGCAGCCGTTTCCAAGGCCTGTTTAATGGGCTGTGAGAGCTGCTGGAAGGCAACCCTGACGTTCACGACTTCGTGGTTGTGATGAGCGGAACCTAGATGAATCACACATTCTGCGCAAATGCATTCAACGCAACTCAGACAAAAGAATTGGAGTGGTTCGCCGGAATGCACGGGACACGTCGTGGGACACGTGCTTGACTCCACGCCCAGCTGAGGACTTGCAGCACTTTCACTGCTGTCACGGGCAACAAGGACTCGATCTCGGAAAGGCGCTTTGACTGGCACTAGCATGTGATCCCGCATTCGGCCTGCTCTGTGCATTCGCGCCGAGCATGCGCTGCAGAAGATCTCGTTGCATTGGCGACAACGAACGTCAGCACGGCCTTGGCACTGGCCACAAAGGACTCCATTCTCAAGCTCGTCCAACTGTTCAGCAGGGGGAGTGGTCGGTGAAACTGTTGACATTTCGGGGCTTTGGTTAGATCCTCGTGATGGTGGCGTCAATCGCATACCATGGATGCCTGGCTCCGGTCGTTTCCAACGCTCTGCTAACTTTGGCAGAACGCAGTAATCCCGCTGAAACACGTTTGCGGGAGAAGGACTTGGGCGGGGCGATGCATTGCGCATAAATTCCCGGATCTGTTCGGCAGCTCTTGAATCCACTTTTGTCACGGACGAACAGCGCGGGCAGCGGGCGCTTGTGTATCTTGATGCCTGCAGCTCTCGCCAAGCGCATTGGAGGCACAATCTGTGCCCACAGACCAGCACGAGAGAAATATCCAAATGCTGAAGTGAGCATCCAATGCAGGTCTCTTCTGCTTCGGAATTTGCATCCATGGCATTGCTTTGGCCATGGCTTCGTGCCATTCAATAGACAAGGTTGTCAGGAGCGCTACCTGGTGGTGTTGTAGCGAAACATCATGCACTGGTGCAGGGGAGTTCTCTCGTGGTAGTTTTTGATCGCTATAAGGCTATGCCTGAATCGGGCCGACGGTGTCAAGTCCAAGGCTCAGCGACATCTTTGTCAACTGCCTACCAACCCTTCTTCCATCTCGACTTGGGCTCACCAGAGCTTTGTTCCTCATCTCCTGCCACAACAGTCATGAAGCCTGAAGAAGACATCATGGCGAAATCTAGCCACCGCGCTGAGTGTCCTCCTGCTGCTCCCTGCGGCTGTGGTCAATGAGCAGCCGCTCGACAGGATGCCGAGCCCTTGGGTGTGCACCCCTGAAGCAACCCCTTGACTATTGACAAGACGGAAGAGTCCTTCAAACTCCTCAGAGATGCTGAGGCCGCGTGCGCTTCGCCACTTCGGGTGGATGGGCCAGTGTCCGCTAAGCCCTGGGGAAAAACGAGGACCATGCTAGCTGCCAGCTTTGCTTGACAGACATCAGCATGGGGGATTGCACTGGTACTGTACTTCATGACCGGAAGCCCTGCTCTGCTTGCTCGGGAAGACGGAGCAAGCATTCACAGAAGCTTCCGGTGAGGGCCCTTCTCGGCTCAACCCGCAGCTGTTGAGAGGTTTCGCAAGTTTGGGATGCATGAAGACTGCAAGGCACATGATACGACCAGAAAGAGAAGCAGTGGAAATCTCGGCAACAATCTGACTGTCTGCGCTGGCAGTGTTGCTGTACAGCAAGCTATCAGCTCCAAGAAGCGTACTTACTCTCATCAACACTCATCTATCAACCCCCAATAAACAGCAGTCCTTACAGAGCTGTGCCTGAAAGATCACCCGCTTGTCTGGCATCTCGACTCCAACCTGGCACCAAAAGCCGCGGATCAACTCCGCATCTCGGAAACGGCCGAGAAGGCACATGTGAGAAGGACATCATGAAAAGAGATCAACAAGAACCTCATCGACGCAACAACCGCGGCTTTTGAATTTTCACATTTCAACCATAACTGCAACAGACACGAAGCAGTGTCAACCAAACGACGTTGACGACAACAACGACCACTAATTTTCAACACTCATTTACAAAGAAAAGCAAAAAATGTCTCCAAGTCAGTCGTGCCTCAGGCTTGTACGCCATGGCCATGGTTTCAGCTTCCTGCATCAGGCATCCGGAATTTTCACCGTGCCGACTGCATGTACACAGCAATACAGTATCCATAACGGGGCCAAGAAACAGTACTCAGAACGATAATTCGTATGTCCGTAGTACGTATCAAAAGCTGGATTCAAACCATGGTGCTTCATATTGCGCGCCTGATACACAGCATATCAGCAAGAGCCAGCTCTTGGAGTTCGTATTTTCTTGGCTTCATGCGAGCCAACCGCTCAAAACACGAAGGCCACTGTGCGCATCCGGAGCCATCTTGCATCAGCTGTTAAAAAGCTGGTCTGTCGCTGAAGCTCCACCTCTTCAGGTGGGCGGTCATGGCATAAACTGAATTAGCAGAGCTGCAGAGACTGCAGCAGCAAGCCTGCGCTGAACATGACTTTACAGCAGCCGGCTGTACGACACCTGCGAAAGCTCCGAAAAGCCCTGCAAAAACCGACGAAGCAGCCCATGACGCTATCTACTGGCCCATCACACCGGCTCTGTACAGACTACGGCTTTTGCCAAGTCATGACGACGGTGCCGCTGATGATTCCAAGCCTCGGAGGATTCTTAGAAGAAAACATGGCACAGAAGGGCGGTGATCCGCGCCTGCCGGCGCGAACGAAGTCAACGGTCGGATGGACCTGTGAGATCGCGCGCAGCGTGGCTTTCGTCAATCAAACAAGGCTTGACACTTGTCAGCCTAGGGTCTCGGCAAGCAGATTTTCAAACCAATCGCTGAAGGCAGGTGGTAACAAGCGCATTGTCTCGCGGGGCCAGCACAAAACGTCATACAGACTTCCAAGGTCTTCAAAGCAGAAAAGCTGGAGCCTCTGCACCCCGGAAGAAAGGCAGCAACAGAGGGCAGACCTTGGAACTAAGATAACGTTGTCCTCATGAGCACCATCACGGCCATCGACGTAATTCCACTGGTGTGGACAACGGCTTTCAACCATTTCTCGGGCGTCTGGCCAAGATCTGGTAAACTCCATTGGTGAAGCAGGTGTACCAAGGACGCGCCGTCGCCACTGCTCCAATGTCCTTTCACACGAATTGGAAAGCCCACTCTTTTGGCAATCTGGCTCGACGCGTGTGTCGCGGCCACAGCATCTCGGGTCTAGGGTCTAGGAGTCGAGAGTGATCTGATGATGGGCGAATGCGCAGGGCACATCTTGTCAGGACAGCAACCCGTGCTTCCACGACCAGCACGAAAGGCTACCGGGGCATTGCAGGCTGCCTCTTCCACCACCGGCACTAGACCAGCTTTTGTTGCAGCGCTGCGCATGGCCTCTGCAGGCCACAGCCTGCGCACCCAGCTTGAGTGTCCAACAAATGTCGCCGCTGTCGGCAGTTCGAGGGAAGGGTAAGCTCACGGCGGAGGCATACAAGTGCAAGTGGAAATGTTGCCAACCTGACACCGCAGTGTCTTGATTCATATGCCCTCGACGTCTAGTGACTAGTGCTGAGGCACCCACGTATTCCCTGTGCTCTGCATTCGTGCTATCGAACTTGTCAGTGACCTTGGTCGGGCCCATCACAGAGCTGCACACAGGCAAAAGCAAGAAGACAAGGCGCGAGAATCTCGTAGGACAGGAACTTGCCACCGGGCTTCAAAAGCCGTGCCATCTGCGCAAGAACCGCACGAAGGGCTTCAAGACGGGACTGCAAAAGCCGGCCTCTGCAAATACCGCCTCAAGGTTGGAGGAGTACTTCAAAGTGTAAACTCCGAAGACTTTGTCGAAGCTAGCATCCTGATGGTGGCTCTTTCACCGAAGGAAGCTGTCATGTCCGGCGCAGCCCCCGATCCTGAAATTCGGTCTTGTGGTAATTCCCCTGGACCTCAGGAAAGGCTAGCAACTCCGGTGGCACGATGCCGGTTTACGGGGCATGACTTGTCATGGGCTGGGGGTGCTGCAATTTTGCATCGGTCATCAAGTCCTGCTTCCTGAAGCGCAGCCGTCTAGCATTCGTAGGGGCGAGATTTCTTGACAGTCCCGCCCCCGGCGCCTTGATCCGAAGGTTGCCACCCTCAATCTCTGCATCTGCCATGGTCAAGCCTGTTACCTTGAGAAGAAGTCACAGTTGCTGTAATGCACTGCGTGATGGAGACTCGAACACCGAATAGCTCTGCGCAAATATCCCAGGCAAACAGAAATCAATGTGTTAATGTAGCCCGCACCAGGTTGTTGATGTTGTTTTGTTGTCTGATCTTCAAGGTGCACTGGCACCAGAGATCTTCGCAACCTGGCGCCCCATCTCACCATAGCCACAGCCAATCCTCACAGAATCGCATCACCACACTTCTTGAATGAAAACAACCAACAATGTGCTCCCGAAACTTCTGAGACGCGGGCTCCAAGACCTTGTCATCTTTTCCTAACTGAATGCGAAATCGTCGATTGTCATGTGGGTAATGTTACAGCTTGACCGGCCTGCGCCCAAGTACTGCGACAAAGTGTGGTGGAAACGCACATGGCTCTCCTTTGCGGGATACTCATGCCGGTGCTGCTCACATGTGCCGCTTCCCAGCAAAACGGCACCTGGACTGTCCGAGGCACGTCACGGGAAAGGCCCTTGATCATGGGGACGAAATGCCAAAAGGGACCACTGGTGAGGGTGATCAAATCCTGTGGATGATTGGTTTTCGCTCGTTCAACAACTTGACGATTTGAAAAACTGTCTCACCACCATGATTCAATACCGTGTACCACTTCGGCAATTGTCTTCTGCAACCCCGTTTCACAAGCTGTCCGACATGAGGCTGTAGTAGTTCATCACGCCGGGAACATAGTCACCAGATTCCTTGCCCTTCTGAATGGCAGCGCGGTGGCTCTTCATGAAGCCACGAAAGTCCGTCCTCTCTGACAGTTTAATCTGATCTCGCTCCGGTGTTGCGGCATCACACGCGTGTCCTCCTGTACGTCCAGAGCACTGCCAGCAGAGAGGAAAGACTTTGACTGGCCACCTCTTTGCCAGGTGCAAGCACTGCAATCATTCTCCCCATGAGGTCACAGGAGAGAGATTGGACCAAGCTATTTTTGCCACAGCTTTGTCAGGCCTTGGAGGTGAACTTCTGCCACAGGTACCCGGCAATCGGAAGTAACAGCAACTGGCCGAGGAACCGCAGTAAGCCAAGTCAAGCTGTAGGGACGGGCGAAAACTGAGGCGCCGGCCGTAACGCCACAAGTCTGCAACACGGCATGCCTGTGAGCATGTCCGGTTTGTAACCTATCCGGTTTGTAACCTATCCACACCAACAAGATGATCACTCATATAGACTATTCCTCCTATCCCTACTCCGGCCATGAAGACGACTACGGCGAAGATATGCGAAGATGCTCAACACCACCGCCACCATCATCACTTTATCACCACCACAGTCACAACGACAACAGTAACGACAACGCCGACGACAGCTGCAGAAAATAACTATCAGCTTCAGCATCACCACTCTCGTCATGATCAACATCACCATGCCACGTAACGCGAATCCTCTTCCTCTTCCTCAAAACAACCATCAACATCGTGCCTTCGTTGTCACTCTATGGCAATGAGTGCTCCATCACGGACGTATTTGCTTGAAGGCAGTGCTGTCTAGCGCATAATCTGAGCACATGGCTTGGCAGCAGGCTGCATCATCGCCCCAGTGAGCACGCACCTCAGAAGCCAACATCTGCGACAGGTGGCAAGGCTGCTTCCACGCGATGCTACTCATGACTCATAGCATAACTTCGGATGATTCGAATCATGCCAGCAACACTTTAGAAGGCTCTGAATGAGAACTGTTGGACACAGTCAAATACTACAACAACAACTGTCTTCAGTGCGGGTAGTTAATTTTTGGTGGCCGGTCCACGGTAATCGCAAACGACGAGCGTCGAGTCTTCTTGCTAAGCGGCCGACTGCTCTCAGGGTTCTCGGTGGTTTCAGGACTTGAGCCAGGTCTACTTGAAGCCACCGGCAGCTGTGAGTTGAGACGAGCATGGGATGGCACATGAGAGCGTCACGCAGGATAAGCAAAGCAAGCTCAGCAAGCACGGGAGATGACAGGAGGCCATGACGTTCCACGCCCAGCCTGCTTCATCATATTCGCCCGGCTGAATGCCTGCAAAACATTCGACAATCTACGCATGCCAGAGAGACGCATGTCTGCCTCAGGCTGCGGCTGCGAAAACGCCTTCGAGCTTTGGCAGGAGTGTCTGAGCCAAAGCCCGGTGCCGGCAAATTCGCTCAAGGAGGGCAAAGACGGATCTCGCGAGCGGGCCGCCGGGCCGTCCATCGGAGCGGGCTTTTGGGCAGTTTTTGGGTCGTGCGCCGCAGACACTGCCACTGTCGCGAGGTGAAACGAGGCTCCAGGAAACGCTGTAAGAGCTCTCTTGAGGGAAATGGCATCGTGACCCAGTGGAGACCAAGGTTCGCGTGAGACTCACCGAAGCTCATGCCATGGAGGTCTGGCCCGTCTTGGACACGTGCACACCTTGCCATGCTGTCACCCAGGACAAGGAAACTCCACCCCGATCCTTGCCCAAGTGAAATCATGAAAAAAAGACACAGTTGAGGGTTCGAGACTTCTGCTTCAGGATGAGTGGAACCTGAATCCTGAAACGCTGAGACACTAAGCCTTGAATTTTCACATGAGGGTTGAAGCATGAGGGGCTTTGCGTTTAGGGGCTTCGGGTTGTCGAGCTTAGAACCCTCAACCCCGAGCCCTCACCTTCAGGGTCTTAGGCTCCGGAACTTCGGGAGTCTAGGGTCTTTGGCAGTGCTCCGTGCTGGGAAGCGCAGCAAGCACGTTTCAGGAGTACTGCAGACGCCGAAGAAAATGGGGACATTCCCGAGGATGTTAGCGGGTCGCATTGGTGCAGGACTCAGTAGTCGCAAAGTCGGCACCCAACGGCTACGTGCACCCAACCCAGGAAGGACTGGCCTCGCTCGTCTCCTGATGGTTTCAAGGAAAACAGCTTCCTGCCAGCCCCAGCGCACATCTGCCCTACGCAACCGGGTCTCTCTACCCGGCAAGCATTCTCCTGTAGTCACGGAACTCGATAGGCCCTTTCTTTTTCCTGAGCTTGATTGGATGAAGGCGCGGCTGCTGTATGCATTAGGCATGACTCTTCGACAGCATCAGAGCCCCCCGCTTGTGAGTTGTGGTTTGCTCTTCGACCATCCTAGCAGCTTAGATGGGTCGCTTGGTCACTGCATTGCGATATGCAGCAGAGCATGGTCTTTTGCATGCTTCTCTCTGTATCTTGGCATGCGGAGAGTCCTCTTTACTGCCGCAGAGAGGATTGTCTCGGTGACCCCAAGTTCCCCGGACAGGATCATCGTGTCGCGGACCTGCCCCGCTCAGATCGCGACGAGGACAGTGGGCGAATGCATGCGGCGGCATGGTCTGCCTTCTCCATGTCCATGTGACCCTCAGCATCGCAAATGTAATGGAACGAGTGTTCCAAAGGGTCAAAGTCAGGAAGGTCCTCCAGAAGTCAGGCAACGTCTGCCGCAGGCCCCTACGAACTCCAACATGATAGTCTGCCACCGTCCTCTGCCATCATGTCCAGAAAATCGTCGACACTCACCGGTGTGTCATTTGTCGCGTTCTCCTGCGCCAAGTAAGCCAACCTGTGCCTGGTCTCGCAGCTATACTCTATACATTATGACGTGTGCCTTACCCATCACCCACTCGACCTCTCCAAAAGAGATGTTGGGGTCAATGCTCCTGCTTGGTTGAAGCAGTCACCGCGGAACTGCAACAAGCACTCTGGCCCAGGTCTTCCTCAAAGCGTTGAGAAGAGTCTTCATTGGAACCGTCTGGGTCTCATCTGCCTGCCGTAGAACTCGAACTGCGTCACGAAGTTACTTCTACTGGCTCCAAATCACTAACCGTCTCTAACTCCTGTCTCGTGGAGGTGCCCACTCCGGATGCCGGCCAGCCTCGATCCCAAGCATATGTCGCTTTTTGAAGGTTGCAACCTGGGCGTTGAAGACCAGAGCTCACTCTCTTCGAGGCCGAGTTTTAGCGCACCAACGACGCTCAAACTTAGACAGCGGCACAGTATGGCACAGGGCATCACAGGGCACTCTTTCTCTCTCCACTCTGACTTGTAGCCGTCGGCCGAAGCCTGAGTATGACACATACGTCCACGCTGTCCGCACCGCATCCTGACAAGCTCAAAGAATTCTCAAAAGCAGCCGAAGTGTCTCGCCCACGGCCAGGGCTGGTGCCTTGGAAATGGCGCCAGAGCTTGCTCCAGGTGATTCTGCCACTCGATGTGACTCTGTCCTTCCAGGGGCGTCGCTCCTTCCGGCAGGGCAACACCACACGCCGTCACACCCTTCCTCTTCTTCACTCACTGACACTTTCATTTCCAGCCTGACGGTCGAGAAAATGCCGTCACGAATGGACTGCGAGCGTTCCTGCAGCGGTCTAGCTGTCGCAAAGGCAATGAGACTCGGGTCGGCAGCGCGCATGTCTCAGCAAAACAGCTGGTACGTGATAGGCTCACGAGTCCCAACCTTTTTGGCGACCGGCAATCGGCGGCGCAAACGAGGACTTCACTCTGGCCGCACTTGCCACGATAGACTTACAAAAAGAAATCCCATCAACCTCGACTGTGCGACGCGCTCTTTCTCGCGACTAGCGAGACTCGCGCGGTAATGGTTCATGTGATATGATATTGCTGCTTGCTATGATGTACCATGCCATCACTGTATACCGGCGAACTCTCTTGGACAGACTGCCTTCAGCATGCTTTGTACAGATCCGGCTCTCACATGTACATCATGCCAGACTCGCGGCCCTGAGCAGAAAAAGCCATGCATTGGGGGAAAGTGGCTCGAAAGTAGTATGAATAGTATCGTGCTTCGGGCCTTGTTCTTGACAATCTGCTCCGTCATCATGGACCTGAAGCTTCGGGCACTGTGGAGGAGCACGGAGGCTGGAGTCCTCAGCCCGGAACTTCCATCCGTCCTTGTAGGTTTCTGCCACCTGCTCCTGTCAACCGCTAGGAGCCAAAGCTTATGATTGTCACTGCTATGATTTCTTCTTGTACTCGCATGAGTACTACGTACTGCTATTACGGTTCTTATCATCGTAAACCGCTCTGAAAGCTTCCCGTTGGGGGACCGGCCTTCAGGTGGACGATGGCCTGTGCAGGAGAGTCGGAGTCTGAGCGTGTTTAGCGTTACGTTGAGATGCTCTGCTTTGCTTGTTGAGATCCGCTCCTTCGCTGGGTCCAGGCCCTTCGGGCAGCAGTTCGTGCAGTTCATGATGCCTTAGATTTGAAGATCAACACGATGGTGCAGATTCACGACCGGCTCTTCAGAAGACGGACAAAGCAGCCACCAAGGGTGTACGATTATTGAAATGAGTCGCCATGGCAACGGTAAAGCTTCATGGTGTCATTGACCCATGCAAGCCGCTCCTGCACATGCGCAGGCAGAAACAAAAGCCCTTCGTCCCATCTCTGCATGGAAGGTGCTGCAGGTGCGGTCCTCGGTGAACTGATCTCTCGAGTCCGCGATCCAGCGGTAGGCCTCGGAGCTTGGTACAAGTAGCACTCCTACATTCATAAGCCACTATAGAGAACGGCAGCCTGCATCAGGACTGCGGGCCCAAGGTAGTACTCTGGGTTCCACCTGGCGCTGCATGCCAGCCGCCACAAGCATTAGCGATGCTTCTGCGACAGGCCCGGTGGACCAGTAGGAGGGGCAGGAGGTCATGCAGCAGGCACACAAGATGCACTCGTACATGCCGTCCAACTTCGCCCGGTCCTGATCCGTCATGTCTATCATGTGCTGGATGTGCAACTGCATAGTGGCTTTCTACTCGATTATCTCTCAGTGCTCGTGCTCTTGCCACCACATCGCCCGGGTTGTGCTGGGACTACCTCATCATCTCGTTGCATTCGCACTGCTCCCTCTTATTCCGAACCCTTTTCTGGCTTGCCGTGGAGATGCGTCATTGCCCGAACTCATCATGCAAGGTTCTTGCTAGTGCAGTCGGAGTCGGGCAGTGGCATCAATAGCAGTAGTAACAGTAGTAGTAGTAGTAGTGGTAGTAGTAGTAGTAGTAGTAGTAGGAGCAGTAGGAGTAGCCGCCACGGCTCAGACGTTTTGGAAGTTTCGCGCTGGCTTTCGAACAGGCTCTGGATTCCAACCTTGCGTTGCTAGAGGTCTCAAACGGGCCCCTCTCTGAACGACTAAGGGTTGGTTCCTCACGCTGAGCCATGTGCCATGTGCCAACAGTTTGCGTCTGAGCCGCCAGGTCCCAATTCCTGGACCCAGTACCCTGTCTTAACACGGGCCCACTGGGCAGGCGGTAGGGTTTCCACTAACCGCGTGGTGGAGGGAGTCACTCGGCTTGCCTTGTGACGAAATAGCGGATGGCGCTGCTCCCAGTGCACTCACAAAATTATTCTCAGATCAGGAAGAATTCGTTCAAGCATGTTTGCAGGAAGGTGGTTGCAAGCCAGCAACCCGTTTCTTACCGAGGTCAGGTCATGACCCCTGCTCTCCTCAGGCGCATGGGCAACTGCCCACCGCGGCCAGGTTCCACCCAGTCTTTTGCACCTCGGTCTAGAGCAGGACAGGCCACCAGGCCCCTCCGTGTACTGTCTTGGAATGCAGGCCACCTTGGCCAGCAGCAATGGTCGGAAGTCAAATCATGGCTTTCCACTGAGGCACGCCACACCTGTGATGTTCTTGTGCTGCAGGAGACCCACTGGCAGGCTACGGCCGAATTTAGTGTTGCAGGCTGGTACTGCATCTCGTCTGCTTCTGCTGCAGATCCGAAAGCCTCTAGACGTAAACAACGCGGGGGCAAGGCCCACATACAGCCACCTGCAGAGGCAATGCCTAATGACGACAAGACCCATCCGCCCCGCAAGGAACCCTCGACCACACGCGCGGACGGAGTAATGGTCTTTCTGTCCCCACACATACAACCTAAAGGTGTGAGATGGCAGGAACATGTCATAGGCAGAACCCTGGAGGTCAGGTTTGACTGGCACGGGGCCCGCATCCACCTGATTGCTGTATACCAACATGTTTGGTCACCGGCCAAGCAGGTGCAGAACAATCGTCAGGACAGGGCACAGGTCCTCAAAGCTCTTGGCAGATGTGTGCAAAGGGTGCCACACCGAGACACGCTTATCATCGCAGGTGATTTCAATAGCTCCTTGCAAAAGCAGCCTAGGCTGGTAGGTCCAGAGCTCATAAGCCCACAGGAACCGCGACCTGATGAACCAGAGCTCACCAACTTCCTGTTGAGTCACCGCTTGGTGGCCCTCAACACGTGGCGACCTCAGCCATCATTTACGTACCAACAGGGGGACACACGCACACAAATTGATTTTGTGCTTACGCGAGAGGTGTCAGCCGGAGGCACTGCCAAGGCCTCCACGCCACTGGCGGCTTTTCCGCTGGGCAGCTGGAAGAAAAGCGGGCACCTGCCCATCAGTGCGACTGTCAAGCCAGTACGTCACTGGAATCTGCCGCCTCCTCAGATACAGACACATCAGTTTGACGCTGCTGCCCTGCAAGCGGCTGTGAGGGACAACACGCTGCCAGCTCAGCAAATGCTGGAGTGGGTTACAACCCGTCTTACTCCGGACATGCAGCCGGCGTCATGGGATCGCCTTCTTGGCGAAGCCTCCTCCAGGTTTTTCCCTAAGACCCCGGTGGCAATGCCAGAAAGTCCGGAGACGTGCATTGCCAGAAGAATGTGGCGCTCTGCACGAGGGAGCAATGCTCACACCAGTGCTGCATCAGCTACAGACGCAGCTGCCCGTCAACTGCTATACGACCAGCACAAACTGGCGGTCAAGCAGTCTCGCAAAGATCAAACCAAGCGGTTCCTTGCCGAGGTGGACCAGGCTCTCAATCAGGGAGACCAACACCTAGCATACCAAACTCTCAAGCATCTTCGCCCGTGGAAACCGGCTCTGAAGGCTCAGCTCAAGGATTCGAACGGTTTCCTACTCAGCCCTGCAAACGAACTTGCAGAGTTGGGCAAGTACGCCACCAAGGTCTTTGCAGCGCACCCTCCGCTTCCTTCTGACGCGGGACTTCTGCCCCTAGAAGCTCTGCGCACAGCCGGTATCCGAGGCGCTCTCACATTACTGTTCTGCTCTGACACAGGACCAGCCACTAGACGATGATCTGACACGAGCGGATCTCTGCTTGATCCCCAAACCGGGCAAGCCGGCTGACAAGCCTTCCCAGCTAAGACCGCTGGGAATACTCAGGCCGGATGCTAAAGGCCTGGCGGGAACGGCTAAGGAACTCCTGGAACCTCTCACGCTGCCATACATGAAGCCTCTCCCTCAGTTTGCATACCTCCCGGGCCGGGGTCTCTCCGACGCTCAGAGTCGAGTGGTACAGCACCTGAGAGAGGCTCGGCAACTGTGTCGCACTGCGAACCTTACCAGAGCGGATCAGCAGCGGGGACAATGTCCTGTCGGTCTAGTAGGCGGCATTACCTTTGCACTAGACCTATCACAGGCATTCGACACTGTATCCCGCAGCGAAATCTTGTCTCTGCTTGATGAACTAGGCGCAGATCCCTCCCTACAAAAACTGATACATGGCCTGCATCATCGATCCAAGTACAGGCTCCATTCACAAGGGGCGCACCAGGATGTGGAAACCACCACTGGCATCAAACAAGGCTGCAAGCTGGCCCCTACATTGTTTTCCGTTCTAACAGGCCGTCTTCTGCACAGGCTGATAGACACATTTGGCTGGGACAATGTCCGCAGATACTTCACTGGGTATGCCGATGACTTTACCATGCATCGCACAATCCGTAGCAAAGCGGACGTGGACGCAGCTCACAAAATGATCCTACAGCTTTTGTCGGAGGTAGAGAAACTAGGCCTGCGAGTCAATCCAACCAAATGTGCCATTCTAGTCAAACTCAGTGGCAGAGAGGCAGAGGCCACGCTCCAGAAGCACACCTGTTGGCTTCCCGACCAAGACGGCAAACTCCAGCGTCACTGGCGACTGGGCAAACACAAGTCCTTCCCCGCCTACAAACTTGAAACACAAATCAAGTACCTGGGCATTCAAATCTCTTATGGGAATTTCGAAATGCAAACGCTGCGCTTCCGTATAGCGGAAGCTGCCAAAAAGCTCCAGCAGGTCAAGCGATTTGTTTACAACCGCAGAACTGCAGGGCCAATGGCCAGGTTGAAGGTTTGGTTCACCACCGTATGGGCCACTCTGGTCACAGGACTTCCTGAAGTCGGCCTCACGGAGGAAACAGCCCGGCATCTCCGAGGTTGGTATGCACACAAGCTACGCTCCGTACTTAACCAGCCTGTCCATGTCAGCCGCATCTCCACAGCGGACCTATATCAGCTGCATTCGATTCAGGACCCGGTGGCAAAAATCCGAGCTCGGATGGCTTCGCGACTAAAAAGACTGAGCAAAAGACCCGACATCCCTACCCCCGCAGCTGACCTTTCCGTCCCGCGGATGACTACTTCCAGTGCACCAACGGTGCAGCGGAGCCCGTGGGCCAGACTGCGTCCTGACGCGCCGGCCTCGGTCACAGGCTCGAACACTACCGACATGGCAGTGTACGGTGATGTCACGTGTCTGGGACATATCCTACAGGACTTACAGGACATACTACGCGAGGTGGACAATCTTCCGGCGAGCACCGAGGCCTCGCAGCAGCGGTTGCATGACTGTCCTCACTGTACGTCTGGCTTTGTCTCTGCGCATGGTCTACATATGCACATCACAAGGATGCATCGTGATCAAGTAAAGAGGTACATTCCTCCTTCCTTTGATCGTAGTCGGCATTCCAGGGACGGTCTACCAGTATGTTCCGCATGCGACAAGGCCTTCCATCAATGGAAGGGCCTACGCGACCACCTGTTGTCGGGAGCCTGTACGCAGCCGGAACGCCTGCGCCAGCTATCTCTCACCACCGAGGAACAGCTGCAAGGCCAAGCGCTCAGAGGCTTAGCAGCCCTTCGGGCTACGGTGCAGAGTTCGCCAAAAGACAAGCTCAGCAGCATAGCCTCCCGACCGGAAGCTCTAGAACTCAAGCACAGGTGCATCTTGTGCGGATTCTGGACCCCCGACCATACCAAGATGAAAAATCATCAACGACAGGCTCATGCACAGGTCTGGCAGCGAGATGGTCCGGCGGCACTCAAGCTTTGCCAGGCCTACACAGTGCAGATGATCAAAGGACACCCATGTCCCTTTTGCAAACTGCAGGTCTACGACAAACGCAAGCACCCAGAACAGTGCATAGTTCTGTTCCAGGTCCTGCTCGGATGGCACAAGGTCCAGGGTAAGGACAAAACGCGGGAACAATGTTCCAAGCCTCAACCAAAGACCGCGGTGACAATGTCCCTAAGTGGCTTCTTCGGGACGGCGGACCGATCTGCTACTCCCGCTGCCGCTGCCTCCACCACGGTCCCCACGGCGACGGCGAGCACCGCCGCGGGACATCTCCCACCAGGCCTGTACTCACGCATGCGACGCATGATGAACTCAGGCAATACCTGCTATGTCAATGCGACCATACAAGCCCTTCTAGCCGCGCTTGACTCTGCGTCCAACATAGCAGAACTGGGACCACTGGTCGAACATTGCATTAGCCCAGAGGCGGATCCAATGGACACTAGGCTTATCAACCCCCCAAGCCTTTTCGCCCTCCGGTCGTTAGTGCCTAGATGGCGCTTTGATGGCAGACAACACGACACCTCTGAATTTGTCACGAGTCTGCTAGAACATCACACCGGAACCCTACAACCCGTGCGCTG